AGAATAGAATAGAATAGAATAGAATAGAATAGAATAGAATAGAATAGGGAAAAAATAGAATAGAGAATATAATAGAGAATAGAATAGAATAGGGGGAAAAATAGAATAGAGAATAGAATAGAATAGAATAGAATAGAATAGAATAGAATAGAATAGAATTCTTTATTGGCCAAGTGTGATTGGACACACAAGAAATTTGTCTTGGTGCACATGCTCTCAGTGTGCATTGCTAAAAATACCAGTCTATTATATTTGAGTAGAATGAGGTTTTAAACTCATGTCTATGAGGAAAAAAATCCAATATTTATAGATCCAATAATACAGGTAGTCCTCCTCTTAGGACTGGATGCTTAGTGACGGTTTGACGTTATGAGGGATCCAATAAACAATACTTACAACCCAGATTCAGAGTTTCAGCAGTCACACTCTGGACATGTGCTTGCTGTGATTTGATGGGGATGTTGCCAGGATCTTAATGTGGAAAATAGTTATTGGTCGCTTTTTTCAGTGGTGTTGTAATTCTGAACGCTCTTTAAATGAACTGTTGTAATTATTTAAAATACCCTGTATATTATTTAAAATACCCTTATTGATTTCCGGTGATGGTGTACAGTGGTAGGGTTGTAGCTTTGATCTGACACTGAAATCAGAAAGTCATGGTATAGACCGGGGTGTCAAACTCAAGGCCCAGAGATGCTTAGATCTGGCCCGCGGGGCCACCCTGGAAACAGCAAAGGTGTCAGGGTTCCAACAGATGCCCTAATTAATTCATGAGCGAGCCAAGTTTCAAAAGAAATCCAATTATTTGTTAGAAACAACATGTCTGCACTTTCCCAAGTACAGTCGGCTCTGCCCCACGCAATTTACTGCCCACTTATGACCCTGTTCCCCCCCCTCCTCCCAGGGTGTGTCATAAATCACATTCTCCAACGGAGCACTTTCACAGGCTGTAGAAACCACACCTCTCCGTCTGGCTCTAGTAACCTGGGATACAATCTGGAGAAAGGTATGCGTGAAATGTGCTTCTGGTCATAGCAACCGAGCTTCTCCATCACTTCTCCTCCCCTCCTGCCTATGGCAACTCAAGAGCAGGCCAGGAATGCTTTACGAGTTGCCAAAAGGACTGGCCCGTGGTGCCTCTGCCAGCGAAAACGGATGCGGCCCTCCCAAGCTCCATTTTAGCTGGCAGAGGGTTGTAGGAGGCCCTCGCAGCCAGAAACAGAGCTCGGGAACCTGTTTTTGCTGGCAGAGTGTTCGGGCCACCGCAGGTGTTCCCGACATGAGTGACACCCCCCCCCCAGCCCCTCCAAGGTCGAACACAACCCTGACGCGGCCCTCAATGAAATCGAGTTTGACACCCCTTGTATGGACTGTTAGTACAATTATAGAAATTAAAAATATCTATTATTGATTGATCAGGGGTCGAGGGAATCATTAAAGATGGGAAGATGGGAAGCAGATTGATACTCCTCATATCAAAGGCTTAGGCAGAAATTGCTAGCAGTAGCAACCCCTGTGGTTTATAAAACAGCTTTGGGTTTCCGGTGCTGTTTTCTAGAAGTTCCTGGAAAGATTCCTGTGGAACTTGTTCTAGTGTGTCAACTACAATTGAGTAGTTGCTCAGTGTAAAGAGAACTGAGAGGATTGGTCTCACATTTGAAATTAAAAGGCAATTATTGTACGTATATAGCAAATTCATCTCTCTGAATTTAAGTTAAAAAAAAACAAAGAATCCAATTAATAGTAAACCTCTAACTGGTTTTTTTTTCTGTTTTATTTTTAAGACGAACAAAAATCAAATTAAAGTAGACCTTGTAGATGAAAATTTTACAGAACTAAAAGGAGAAATAGCAGGGCCTCCAGATACACCATATGAAGGTAAGGATTTTTTTTTCTTCCCATTGTCTAATCTTGTTGTTAATTCTTAAAGCTCATAAATGCAATATATATCTCATTTTGCAAATCCTTTGCAAAACACCGTAAATATGTTGCAAATATATATATTGTAATTAACCCTTGAAGTTAATCATTCGTGCAGGATAATTAAAAGTTGCATTCTGGTTAATTGTTCTTAAGCTGCTCTGTAACACTCGCCGTTGTTATGGTCTGGGTTTTGGCTTAATTTACCAGTCAGAACATCTTAAATATTTAAAAAGGCATTCAGTTATTTCTTGCCAATATTTGTACAATGAAATAATTGCACCAAGATTAAGTTTTACATAAATAAAACAGCTAGAGCAGGCAAATATATATATATATATATACGGTATTCTGTTTCCTTAAACTAGTTACCTTGGCTTCCTCAAGATACATGTATTTCAATCCCAAGAATTCTTAGCAATTCTCAGAATACGGATAGAATTCTGAATATTAGTCCCTGCTTCTGCAGAACTCCCAAGTTGTAAAAAGCTACCCCAGATTTCCATGCCAGATAGCACCCAAAATGGTTTGCGTTTAGGTGCTGCCATTTGAGAGAATCACTGTCTGAAAGGATGAGGTTGGACATGTAACTGTTGGACAGGTTTTTCAATTCCTTTTTCCCCCCTCTTCTCACCTTCACTCCCTTGACTCAGCTTAGGAACAAATTTCCAGGCAGCTGGTGGGTATCTTGTTGACATGTGAATACTTAGAAAGTTTTACGTGCATGCAGATCTGTCTTTTTCCACTCGTATAAAAAGCAAGTAGTTTCCTTAGTGAAAAGCTGCCCTAAAAAAATAAAAGACAAATGCTTGGAACTGGAGTCAATGCAGAATGTACCTTTTTTTTTAAAAAAGGGGGGGGACTACTGTTTTTGAAATGGAAACACAATGGCTGGCTCAGGAATTCTGGGAGTTGAAGTCCACACATATAAAGGGATCATCGTTCCCCACTCCTGATTTAAGGAATTGGATGTTCATTTAAAATAGTTAGCGAATAGCTGTGGAGACCTGTTTTCATTGCTCCTTTTAATACAGTTGTGTTCTTTTGGGAGGATCCTAAAGTAGATATTTTTTTCATCCTTAAAAATAATGAAATCCCCATTCAGATTCTTTTTTTCCACCTTTTTTGTGGTTTCTGTAGGGGCCCCTCCTATATAGGCTGCCTTGCTTGATCGTGGCTCCAGCTACAAAACCTCTGTACTAAGGCTAGATCAAGGGTCTTCAAACTTGGCAAGTTTAAGACTTGTGGACTTCCAACTCCCAGAATTCCTGAGCTAACATGACTGGAGGAGGAATTCTGGGAGTTGAAGACCACTAGTCTTAACTCTGCCAAGTTTGAAGACCCCTCGGCTAGATAGTGAGAGGTTGAATGTCTACTCAAGAAATAGGACCATAACATTTTTCTTGGGTTCCTTTTGCTGGTAGAGCTTTGCTTTTGGAGAACTCACTCATGATCTGTTCTTTTTTTCCTCCCCTTCTGTGTTCTTTCTCTCTTGGCCTTTACCCGAATGTCAGTCTGCGTAGCTTTTAGTTTGTTTTATGGATAGCCTCAGGAACGATGACTCAGAAAACGGCCTTCTTCTCAGAAGTACTATTTTTGCTGAAGCAAAATTAAATCATGTTTGGATGGATGGCCACCATCGTGGTCTTCTTTTCCTCTTTCTTTTTTCTTTTTAAATTAAGTAGGCAGCTACCGAATGAAACTTGTGCAAGCATGGTTTATTCTTGGTAAGACACATCAAATATCAACACTTCGTTTTGGTCAGGAAAGAAAGTTCTTTAGAAATCCTTCAGGTCGTCTCCTTCACTGACCTGTTGGCATCAGTGAGCAAGATCGTTGGGCTTTCATCCAGAAAAGTCCATTCTTTTCCCGTTGATCACCTGCCTTTCTCTTTGTGTGCCATTTTTAAGATGAGAGATGTCCAACCTTGGCAACTTTTTAAGGCCTAGGGACTTCAGCTCCCAGAATTCCCCAACCACAGTGGTTGGTTGGGGAATTCTGGGAGTGGAAGTCCACTGGTCACAAAAGTTGCCAAGATTGGATATTCCTGTTTTCTTGATCTTATCCTTGACAGTCTTTAATCTTTTCCAAAGAAATTCGGATAATTCTTGCATTCATACTCTATGGAGGATTCTGGGAGTTTTGCTACTCCTAATAATTGTCCTTGTTACTTGTTATATTTGTGGGGTGGGGTTGGGTTTTTTGGCATTATCAGTTTGCATCTAAATTTGTGTTTGCTCCTTGTTTAAATTGTCACTGGAATATTGGTATAGTCTCACCTTCCTTTAATCAAATGGAAGCTTTTATTCTAGCTTTTCATAAACTGTGCCCATGTTCCAAGAGCTTTCCTCGGGGGGATAAAGACAACAGGAACAAATAAGAATAATTACTCTGGTATTACAGATGATGCGCTTAAAAGATTTCCACCTCCAGGGGTTTGCAAACTGAGAAAGCTCTGTGTAATACAATAGTAGAGGTGAACATGTTGGAAGGCTACTAGTACAATTTCCAGCTACATTATACAGAAATCCATCCTGCCTTAGAACCAAAGCAAACTTTTAAAATCTTGTTTATTTAACTTAAAGGAAAATTCATTGCTGTGATAAATTGATGTCTGATAAGTATTTAGTGGTTATATGTTCTGGTTTTTATAGGAGGAAGATATCAATTAGAAATAAAAATTCCAGAAACGTATCCTTTTAATCCCCCTAAGGTATGGTGAATATAATTATTGTGAATAATTCTTTGGATTCTTTCTTTATGAATCCTTTTTGTGCAGTGCTCTTCGTTGTCTTGGCTGCTCCTCCAAGGTCTTTCTAATTGAATACAGCCCCCCTCCAAAAATAAACAATTTATCTTTTATGATGCTTTGCAAAATTCCCTACTTATGAAATGCTTTACTTGTATGAACAAAACTTCCAATTTTGTACAAACAATTCATTGTCTCTTTAAGTGTGATAACCTGTACTGATGTCATTTCAATTAAATAAGAATTTGTTTTAAATGAGATTGCTTCTTATAACGTACAAGTGCAATAGTAGAAAATTGTACATATGCTTACGTTTTCAGTAGAACTGATAGGTGGAAATGTTTCTTTTCTTGGCTATTTAAAAAAGAAAAGCCAAATAGATAAATGATAAAACTATAGCAATCGTCAAAGTAATGTGTCCCTCCTCCCCCCGTAGTGATAACATCAGTTTGAAAATAATAAAAGAAAAACACCATTGTACACTATTTCTGTATTCTCATTTGTGGGCAGTATGAGAATTGGCAAAACTTAATACAACATAAGAGCCTTAATTTAACGTGGGCATCTTTAAATGAGCCAGTGAACCTGTTTCTCCCTCGAGCCGCTCGGAGCATCCAGAGACTGGGATGTGCTTCTGAGTCCTCTTCTTGCAGGCTGAGCTTTAGATGAGGAAACGCTCCGCCCCCTCACGTGGTATTGCGCAGCGTCTCCCCAGTCTTTTGCTCAGCCTCGAAGAGTCAGGCTGTGTTTTCAGAGAGCTCCTTGGCTGATCGTACATTTCTTGCCTATTTCTTGCCTATTCCAACTTCGTCTTCATAAGGTTTGCCTTTCCTTCCTCCTCCTGCGCAAAGGGTCTGGACTTAAGGGAAAAATTTCCCCGTCCCTGGGGCGAAGCTTGGGCTCGCAGCGCGATAGCGCGACCCCCCCCCCACCCTTATCAGATTGCGTCGCTGCCTCCGCGTTGCCTTATGGCACGCATTTCTTTTATTGCTGGATTCCCCCCCCACCCTAAACGCCGATCGGGAGGGTCATCGCCCCTAGGGCCCTAGGAGCTGAGCTGACCAGCAAGCCCTCCTTTTCCGTCCCGAAGGCGTCCCGACGGTTCAGCTTGCGGCCGCCATTTTGGCTCCGCATCGTGGTCGGGCGCCATTTTCAAATACTTTAGCTGCGGTGAATTGGAGCTCCAGGCCTTGGGTTAAAGCTTAGCTGCCCATCTCTTCCACCTGGCCCGCTCCTTTATTACTTGTTGGCCTCCCGCAGCCCGTTTCGGGGCGAAGTTGCAGCCCCCCCCCTCCGGTTTTCTTTTTCTTGTCTGGAGGCCTGCTGCCAGAGGCCCTCTCTTCAACTCTAGGCCTCAGGCGTTTATTTGACTGATTGGCCTGTACTGAGATACAGTTCTCCCTGTTACGGTTACTGTTTATATAGATTTCAAAAAAAAAAAAAAACAAAACACCAAGAGTTCAATTCCTGATAGAGGGTTTTAATCCCATTGAAAAATCTGTGGCTACAATGCATATTATCCTTGATTTGTAGCAGCTTGTTTAGTGACTGTTCAAAGTTACAATGACATTGAAAAAAATATGATATTTTTAAAACCAGGGGCTGTATAGCTCCTGAAGCTAATGTATTGCATATTGTCACCTAATGTGAAATACAAATACAAAAAAAAAAAAATAATAATTCTTTTTGTACATCAATATTTCTCATAGATATATAGAGGTATACGGAGAACCTGTATATTCACCTGGTATAAAACATAAAAATAAATAAAGGGAGAAGAAAAATTACAAATTAGAGTATATATATTTCTGTTATTTCTGTACATAACAAATTCCAAAAGGGGGAGCGGACCAGCTTCATCGTCACCCGGCCTCATCCAGGCCTGATCTGGGCGAGCCAACCGCCCTTGCTAGTATTTATTATCTAACATGGCAGACGACAATCCCTCTAAACGTCCTTCCTTGAAGGCTAAGGCAAAGTCCCACTACTTGCGCAGGCAGGACAAGGAACCTAAGGGCTCTAGACAGGACAAGGAACCTTCCAAGGCCTCCCAACGTGACGCCTCAAGGCGCCACAAAGCGTTGGAAAAAGAGTCTGACAGGCGTTCAGGGAGTCCCGCCCGGAGCCGTCAATACTTCCTCCTCCAACCACTTTTACACCCACTGCTGCTGGTCTGCGCCAGGACGAACCCTCTACCTCCGAGGTTCCGCCTCACATCAGGGCTTGGATGGAATCAGCCATCCGCCAGAGCATTGCAGAGGGACTACAACACATGACCAGATCAGGCTTCTCTCCATGAGCCTCCGAGCACGACTCTTTATCCATCAGATCCCTTCCACAACCGGTCCCCCCGGTTGATCAGGTACTCTCTCAGAGGAACAGCCCTCCTCCGGTTGGGGCCCAGGTGGAGGAGGAAGGGGACTTTGGGGATTTCAGGGAAGAGGAAGAGGACTCCCAGATGGGATCCTCCCGCTACAGTGAAACCCTCTTAGAGGCTGACATCATGGAGGGGGAGATGTCGGAGGACGAGGGCACTTCCCCCGACCAACCCACTTTTGAGGGGCTGTTCAAGCTGCACATGTTCAAGTCCCTCCTCCTTAAGGCCAAGTATGTCTCTGGCCTTCTTCCCCAGTCCCCTGCAAACCTTCCCCCCGTCCCAGAGGGCCCGGAGGACTCCATTTTCACCCAACCAGTGGTGGAAGCTGAGGTCATCCCTTCCCCTTCCATCTTCGTGGATCTGGTAGCGAAGCAACTCACCTCCACAGGGACCCCTCCTACACCCTCTAGCCAAGACAAGAGATTCTTTAATCTCGAATCGGCACTATCTAGCCTCCTGAACATTCCGGAAGTTGATGACCCCATTGTGGGTCTGGTTTTCTCCTCTACCCCTTGTGAGGCCCTAGAGGCCTTGAAACCTGATGACATGCGGGCGGAGTTGGCGCTGCGCAGGGCCCACCTATATGACGCCTGGGCCATTAAATCAGCTATGACCGCTTCCTTTTTCACAAGGTCCTCTATCCGCTGGCTACGTCAGCTCAAGGAACACGTCCCCGCTTCCAATCTCAGAGCACACCAGGACATAGCGAAGTTAGTGGCTGCAGCCGAGTTCTCGGCTGACGCCACTTACCAGTCGGTAAAATTCTCTTCCAGGGCCATCACATCGCACGTCACGGCTCGCCGCATGCTGGCTCAATCACTGGCAGACGGACGTAAAGAATAAGGTCAAGCTGGCCACTGCTCCCATTAAGGGAGATAAACTGTTTGGCCCAGCTTGGAACCACTGTTGGTCGAGGGCCGCAGTAAGAGAAAGTATCTACCTCCCTTCCCGCCCAGATACCCTAGACCCCCTTCCTTCCGATCCCAGGACCGCACGGTCCCGGGCGACAGGACCAGTCGCGGTGGCAGCTACAAGAGACCCTTTCGGGGATCGGGAGGAAGGCCCTACCGCAGAAGGTGGAGCCTCTTCCTCCCTCCCCATTGGCGGCCGCCTCAGCCACTTCGCTGCCCAATGGGACATATCCACATCCGATGCATGGGTTAGGGACACAATCAGGTTTGGTCTCGCCCTGGAGTTCAGGTCCGCCCCCCCCTGATTATTTCATCCCATCCCTCCTCCTCAAGGGATCCCTCCAAACGTGCTCCAATGGATGCAGCCATCCATCATCTTCTTGACATCCAGGCCATTCAACCTGTCCCTCCGAATCAGAGAGAAAAGGGCTTTTACTCCCATCTCTTTGGGGTGCCCAAACACTCTGGGGGTTGGAGAGTCATCCTGGACTTGAAACGGCTCAACCGTCACCTTATCCAGCGTAGGTTCAATATGCACTCTTGCAATCAATTCTGTTAGGCACCAGGCGGGGAGACTGGTTATCTTCCATAGATCTTTCGGAGTCATTCCTCCATATTCCAATCAGGCCCTCCCATTACAAATTCCCCAGGTTCTGTCATAATAGCCTTCACTATCAATACGTGGCCCTACCCTTTGGACTGGCCTCGGCCCCCCGGACCTTCACCAAGGTCCCGGCGGCCCTGGCGGCTCATCTCAGGAGCGTTCCCGTCCGCCTCCACTGCTACTTGGACGTTATCCTTATTCTATCCCCGTCCAAATCCCAGGCAGTCAGGGATACCAGGGTCACCCTCTCCGCCTTACGGGCACACGGTTTCTAGTCAATTGGCAAAGAGCCAACTTACCCCTTCCACCCGATTCAACCTCTTGGGTGCCATAATTTATTCTGTTTCTCAAAGAGTTTTCCTCTCTCCGGAGAGGTTCCCTAGCATTCAAGCCCTGGTCAAACAGAGCAGGCGTTCAAGGAGGGTGGCCTTGCTGGACCTCTCTGAATTGTTGGGCAAAATGGTGTCACCCATCTCTATTATTCCCTGGGCCCGTCTACACAGTAGATCCCTCCAGTGGTTCCTGCTCCAGTTCCAACGATCCGGAAGAAGCAACTCGAAGGCCAGAATCAGGGTCCCTCCAAGGGTCCTCACGTTTCTTCTCTGGTGGACCAATCCCACCATCAACAGAGGCCACCTCTTCGCGGAACCTCAATGACTCTCCGTCACTACGGACGCAAGCCTGTCCGGTTGGGGCGCTCATCTCGACTCGCTCTCAGCACAGGGCAAATGGTCGCCGACCGAGCAGAGGTGCAGCATCAATTGGCTAGAGCTTCACGCTGTCCATCTGGCCCTGTGCAGTTTTTCCTCAGATCCGCAAACATCACGTTCTCGTTCTCATGGACAACGTCACGGCCAAGGCCCATATCAACAGGCAAGGGGGCACCCAGTCCATCCAGCTAATGAGGGAAGCCGAGCGCCTTAGCCGCTGGGCAGAATCCAACCTCCTATCTCTAAAAGCCGAACACATCTCCTGAGTAGACAATACTCAGGCGGACTGGCTGAGCAGGGCCACGGTGGACCAGGCAGAATGGCGTCTCCATCCATCCCTATTCGAGGAAGCGTCCAGAATATTCGGCCTTCCGGTGGTGGACCCTTTCGCCTCCCCGTCCAACACTCAGCTTCCACGGTTCTTCTCCCGGTATCCGTCTCACCGGTCGGAGAATCACAACGCCATGCGTTGCCCATGGCCCCCAGGGCTCCTATGCCTCCCCTCCGCTCCCGTTGGTTCCCAGAGTAATTCAGAAACTCATTCAGGAGAGGGCAGACCTTCTCCTGGTGGCTCCCTATTGGCCCAGGAGACCGTGGTTTGCGGACCTCCGCTTTTTATCGGTAACGCCCCCATGGAGGATCCCCCCGGACTGGGTCTCCCTCTCTCAGGGGCCCCTTCTGCATCCGGAGCTTCAATGGCTCCAGTTAGCCGTCTGGAGGTTGAGCGGATCCGCCTGACTAGTGAGAAGCCCTCAGTCAAGTCATCGACACTATTTTGGCCGCCAGGCGACCTTCCACTACACGAATTTATGATGCCACTTGGAAGGGGTTCTGCAAGTGGTGTAGCGGGTCTCAGATTGATCCCTTCTCTCCCTCTGTGGCTCAGATCCTAGAATTCTTCAGGAAGGCCTTCGCAAGGGGCTCGCACCTAACACCCTGAGACTACAATTTTCTGCCCTCTCAACCGTGGTCTCCTGTGATAACTACGGTTCCCTTTCTCATCACCCCCGAATTAGATCTTTCCTTAGGGGCGCCACCAACCTGTGCCCTCCCACTGTTCACAGGTTCCCCACATGGGACCTCAACAAGGTCCTCGTTTCTCTTACTCGTTCCCCGTTCGAGTCTTTGAGGGATTCATCCCTTCAGTTTCTCACCTTTAAGGTAGTTTTTCTAGTAGCTATTACTTCTGTTCGTCGAGTTTCGGAATTAGCAGCTCTGTCAGTCAGGAGCGATCTATGCGTGTTCCATGCAGACCGAGTGGTCCTTCGTCCCGACCCCACCTTCCTATCCAAAGTCAATTCTCCCTTCCATAGGTCACAGGAACTGGTTCTACCAAATTTTTGCCCTAGGCCCTCCAGGGGCAGGGGGGTCCTCTGGCACTCCCTAGATGTTAGAAGGGCCTTGCGTATATATATTAAGCGCACTCAATCCATGAGAAAGTCGGAATCCCTCTTCCTATCCTTTCAACCCAGGTCACTGGGGCTTAAGGTTTCTCCTTCCACCATCAGTCGCTGGATCAGGGCCACCATTGCGAGGTGCTACCTTTCCCATTCCCTGCCCGCTCCGGGTGGAATAACCGCCCATTCCACCAGAAGTGCAGCCACCTCGGCGGCCTGGGCCACGCAAGCCCCCATCGCTGACATTTGTCGGGCAGCCACCTGGACCTCTCCGTCCCCGTTTATCAGACATTATAAAATAGATACGTACGCCTCAGCGGAGGCCTCTTTTGGCCGACGGGTCTTACAGAGGGTCATCAGTGATCCGGAGGGGCCTTCGGGCCAGACGGAGTCCCACCCGTAGGACAGCCCAGCTTTGGTATGTCCCAGTCTCTGGATGCTCCGAGCGGCTCGAGGGAGAATGGGCGTTGGTTCTTACCTGATACGCCCCTTCTCGGCGAGCCGCGAGGAGCATCCAGCCCCACCCTAATTTCTCCGTCTGGTGGGGACTCTTGCTTCAGCCAAGGAGCCAATAGTAGATCAGAAAGAATTAATAACCTCTCTTCTCGTTATCGCAAAAAATTGGGGAGACGCTGCGCAATACCACGTGAGGGGGCGGAGCGTTTCCTCATCTAAAGCTCAGCCTGCAAGAAGAGGACTCAGAAGCACATCCCAGTCTCTGGATGCTCCTCGCGGCTCGCCGAGAAGGGGCGTATCAGGTAAGAACCAACGCCCAATTTCTTTCACTCAATTCTTACAAATAGCAACATCACATTTTAAAAAGGAGTATTTAAGGGTGAACATCACACAATTTCATGCACAGCCCAGTGTCAAACGAAAAGTGTCTCTCAGATGCCCCCAAAACCTGCATTCTGAAGCTTGATACACACACACACACACACACATATGAGAAGATTTTAAAAAACACACCCAGATTTGAAGTGGTTTAAAACTTGGAGAAGTGCTGATTATCATGAGTTGAAGTTTCATCTCCTCACCAAAATCTAAGTTAATGTTGCTCACTTTCCCCGAGCTGCTGGAATTGAGATTAGTCTGGTGTTGTCCCAAGGTTTTTTTTTTTTTTCTCCCCCAGGTGGCAACTGGACTTTCTTGTTTTTTCTTTTGAAGACATTTCGCTTCTCATCCAAGAAGCTTTTTCAGCTCTGACTGGAGAGTGGGGAATGGAAGGATTTATGCTCCTTGCAGACAGCTGGTCATTTGCATCCTTTTAGAGCAGGGGTGTCAAACTCAAGGCCCACAGGGCTGGCCTGGAAATAGCAAAGGCCCGGCCCGTGGTGCCTCTGGCAGCCAAAACGGCATGGGGCACCATGCGCAGCCCCTCCGCACCCCTCTTTTTGGCCTGGATGGCCTCCTGTTAGGCAAAACAGGGCAGGGGGGGCATGTGAGCCCCCACCACCACTGTGCCGCGTTTTGGCTGGCAGAGTGCTGCAGGAGGCGTCTGTCCTGTCCCCCCTGGCCAGCCCACGGAAGGCAACTACAATGCTGATCCGGCCCTTGGAGAAATCCAGTTTGAGACTCCTGTTTGAGAGGGTTGTTGAACCACTTGGAGGTTTATCTGTGTCCTCAGTATCACCCAAGTAGGAGCACTACAGGAAAGGAGCACTACTCGGGCGATCCTGAGGACACAGATATACCTCCAAGTGGCCTCAAGGACTCTCTAAAAAGATGCAAATGACCAGCTGCAAGGAGTATAAATCCTTCCATTCCCCACCATCCAGTCAGAGCGGAAGAAGCTTCTTGGATGAGAAGGGAAATGTCTCCAAAAGAAAAAGCAAGAAAGTCCAGTTGCCTCCTGAGAAAAATCACCTTTGGGACTACCATGCCCTGGATGATTTGAGAATCTCTACAGACTTCAAGTCTGGTGTTGGTCCACTTGTGAGAAGGTCTGAATAAGAGGACTGTGGGCATGGCTGTAGGAGCTCGCGGGACAAAATGCAACTCTTGACAGCATTAAGCATCAGAATTAATATCCCAGGGCAGTGTTCCCCAGAAATCTAGATGAAGGTTTCGGGTACTGTAGGAACACACAACACGAACGTGTATTCCAAATTAATACGATGCTGCATCCGAATCTGATGAACCCAGATATTAGATTATTACTGTTTTTGGGACCAGCCAGCATCGTCCATAAAAACACTGTAAAATTGTCCTGTATGGCAGGGGTCCCCGATCCCCCTCCAGTCTGTGGCCCAGTGCCAGGCTGTGGCCCATTGGGAACCAGACCACACAAGTGGTGGGCAGGCGCACAAAGGCGCATTTGTGTAAGTGGCGTGCTCGCACACAAAACCATCCCTTCTACAACCACTGGACCCACCCCCACCGGTCCAGAGCTGGGTATGGTGAATTATCCATTCATCACTGCGGTATGGTGCTTATCCACTGTGTAGCTACTATTTTCCTAACAGCTTCTCTTATATTTTAGGTGCGGTTTACCACCAAAATTTGGCACCCTAATATTAGCTCAGTCACCGGAGCTATCTGTTTGGATATCCTAAAGGATCAGTGGTAAGGTACCGTGCAAAGTTCGGGAAAAACCCTGGAAATAATTGGAGAACCCTTCTGCTTGTAGATATGGGAGGAAATAGTGGTCCTTCCTTAGAGGCGTTGAAAGACTAATTAAGCAGAGTTTACCATGACATCTGATGTCTCAAACTGGCTATTGCTGGTCTCCAAACCATTTACCAAAATGCTTAAGATTGTGAGTTTTGAACAGCTTCAATCATAAGTTTCCTGACGGCAAACTATACCCAAAGGAAAAGTGATGAAATAGAAGCACAAAGCATTAAGAAACAGGAGGAAAAAAGGGAGTAGTTTCATTCATGCAGCTTAATTTAGCCATATACCTGAACTAGTGGGATGTTGAGAAATTCAGTGTTTTCATTTCTGAACTATAGAAAATGAGTGTAAAGAAGCATTGCGTTGTATTTCATGTGATAATATTTTTGACTGGGTTTGTATTCCCATGTTTTCCCCAAAATAAGACCCTATCTTATATGTTTTGCCACCAAAAAAAGGCACCAGGTCTTATTTTCGGGGAATATCATCCACTGACTAACCTCACTTGCGCACTTCGCCCTGGCCTCCTTTTCGCTGTCAGAGGCCTTGAGGAACTTCTTCTTCTGCGGCTGGCAAGCCTTTCCTGAAGGCCTCTGCAGTGGATAACAGAGCTCAGGATCGATCCGGAGCTTTGTAATTAGCTCCAGAGGCCCTCAGGAAAGCCTGGCCAGCCTTGCCAGCTGCAGAAGAAATGGGCCAGCCAGGCAGGTGTTGGGGTGTGCGAGGCCTTGCTACAACTCTCCAAAGGTAAGTAGTAGGACAGCTCCACCCTTCATCCCCACCCTAGCTTAATTTTTACCTGTGCACTCTGGAGTAGGTGGGATCCTAATTAGGGCTTATATTGGGCACATATGTAAAAATCAAGCTAGGGCTTACTTTCAGGGTAGGTTGTATTTTCGGGGAAACAGGGTAGATGCCCCAATATTGAATGTTTTTTTTTAAACCATTGATATTGCAGGAACTTCTAGTCAGCCAGTTACTAGAAAGTAGAATGTAATTGTAGCTTCGTTTTGAATAGAAAAAGAAAGCATAGAAATCAGCAGCGTTAATATTCAAGGAACTCTCTTCTTAGGCGTATCAAGCCATTAGTTGATGCCTAGAATTTAACCAAGTGAATAGTAAGCAGAACGTGTCCTGTTGGTAATTTTTGACTTAAAGATGGGTGTTGATTTTCTGCCTATACTACAGTGGGTTTTGTCTTGTACTAAACAGTCTGTTAAATCTTGATGTTACATCCTTGGGCCGGGGGTGTCATGTTGGGTGTGTATAAACTCATTTTCCAACCTTTGTCTTTCCAGGGCCGCAGCAATGACTTTAAGAACAGTGTTGTTATCCTTACAAGCACTCTTGGCAGCTGCAGAACCTGATGACCCACAAGACGCAGTTGTGGCAAATCAGGTACAATTGTTAATTCCCTTCCCTTTTAGAAAATCCATGCTGAGTTTCCAAGGGTTATTTCTCTTCTCTCCCTCCCCCCCTCCCCCCCCCCCAAGGAAGAGGGACTTTTAAAAGACGGGTCGCCAACCTTTTGGACGTCAGGGACCACCAAACTCATAATTTTAAATCCTGCGGACCACTAATATGAATTTTGACAGATGGCTTGCTGACGCGGGGGGGGGGGAGGATCTGATCTAACCTTAGAAGGCTGATGATAATGTTCGTTTTCTCTCTCTCTCTCCTCTCTCTTTCTCCCACACACCCAAACAGATCCCTCACACACCTCCACCCCCTCCAAGGGGTGCAGAGACCCTGAAAAGATCCCAAAACAAGTCTGCAGGAAAATTCCCCACCTTGTTTTCCTACCGATTGATCTTTCTTTACTTGGGATCGCAGGATACTGTCTCCAGTTCCGTTCTCGGGGGCGGGGGGGAGGGGAGAGAGAGAGAGAGACTTTTGGCTTCATGCAAGGAAAGCAGCAGAAGCAGCAGAAGTCTTTCTTTCTCTCCCCCAAACTCTGCCAGAAATGAGTCTTTGTTGGCGCAACCTCTTGGAGCAGGAGGCCTTGCAGGGTCCCAAAGACTCTTTTCTGGCAGAGTTTGGGGGAGAGAAAGAAAGACTTTGGCTGCTTTCCTTGCATGCAGCCAAAAGCAGGAGAAGAAAGAACCGGAAAGAAACAGCCCGGTGGCCAGGTGAGGCGCGTGGGGTGAGTGGGGCAAGCTCCCCCCTTCTGCCCTTTCCCCCCTCCCCTCACTACCTCGTGTTGTTCGCAATGCGATGTAAGTGTTCCCACGGGCCATGTGCGTAGCACAGCCTTGTGTTCCAATGTAGCCTGGATTAATTGCTTTGGGGGTGACATGTCTCTGCAGACCACCAACATTTTCTCGTGGACCACCTATGGGCCATGGCCCACTGGTTGGAGACCACTGTTTTAAAAATCTGGAAACAAACTAGTGATAAAGATGCTTTTTTTTTTCCCTGCTGGGTTGCCATCCTTTCCCAAGGAAAGAGAGTATTATCAGAGTATTACACGTTCCTTCGCATTAGCTACAGATTTTGTCCTTTCCACACAAGATTTCAATTTGTCTTCCTTTGACACAGTACAAACAGAATTCAGAAATGTTTAAACAGACAGCTCGACTTTGGGCGCACGTTTATGCTGGAGCACCAGTTTCTAGTCCGGAATATACCAAGAAGATAGAAAATCTTTGTGCTATGGGATTCGATAGGGTAAGCCTCGCTTTGCGTAAGTCCTGCTACCTTCCCTGTTACCAAGTAAAGTGGTAAAGTTTTTATTTCTTTAAACCAAATCTGCTTTTCTAAGATCCAGAATTATAGCTTGTCCTCAACTTACGAGCACAACTGAGCCCCAATTTCTCTTGGCTAACTTATGACCGTCATTAAGTGAGTTTTGCTCCATTTTGTGACTTTCCTTCCCAGAGTTCTTAAGTGAATCACTGCAGTTGTTAAATTTGTAACAGAGGTTGTTAAGTGAATCTGGCTTCCCCGTTGATTTGAGTGGTCATAAGGTTGTAAAAGGGGGGGACACGGCAACTGACATAAAGATGAGCCCATTGCCAAGCGTCCGGATTTTGACTTTAGGGAGGTTATGTGGAAAAACAGTCACTTTCCTCAGTGCCGTTGTAACTTCAAACGTCACTAAATAAGCTGTTGTAAGTTGAGGACTCCCTGTACTTTCTTTTCTGTGGGAGCTGCTGCTGCTGCTGCTTGGGAAATTCCAGGGAGCTGCACTTGATATGAGATTCCGTGCTAAGTGCCTTGCTTCAGTTTAGCCTTTGTCACATGTGTAGTTTCTATTATGAACGTGTTTCCCCGAAAATAAGATCCTGTCATATTTTTTTTTTGCACCATTGTCAACCCATAAAATATTTCTATGGTCTTTTTAGAGTTGCCAACAGAAAGGGAGGGGGGGAGCAGTGCGGCAGCCTGCAAACTGAAAGTGCATTCCATAAATGTTTTCAAAGATAGTAACTAGGTGATCAAAGTTTCTGCTGCCCAAAATTCTAACTGGAGAGCACGATTGATGACTCTGGGCTATGGATGTGTCCCATTGGAGAATGTGAATTACGATACACCCAGGGGTGGAGGGAAAGCCAGGGTCAAGGGTGACAAGGAATGATGTGTCTCAGAATCGGCGACACTCGGGCAGTGCCAGCATGTTAAGTCCCAATAAATCCTTTTGAAGTTTTGGAAGTTTGGCTCGAGACTCATGATTTAATTGGGGTAACTGGCGGAATTCTGACAACCAGGTCTTATTTTCGGGGGATGTCATTCACTGACTAACCTCACTTGCATGCATCACCCCCGGCCTCCTTTTTGCTGTCAGAGGCCTTCAGGAACAATTTCTTCTGCGGCTGGCAAGGCTTTCCTGAAGGCCTCTGCAGCGGATAACGGATCTCTGTATAGATCTGCGGCTTTGTTATCAGCTCCAGAGGCCTTCAGGAAAGCCTGGCCAGCCGCAGAAGAAATGGGCAGGCAAGGCAGGTGTCGGGGTGTGCGAGGACTGGCTACAACTGTCCAGAGGTAAGTAGTAGGACAGCTCCACCCTTGCATCCCCACCTTAGCTTAATTTTTACCCGTTTACTCTGGAGTGGGTGGTATTTTAATTAGGGCTTATTTTGGGGGCAGGGCTTATATTGGCCACACATGTAAAAATCAAGCCAGGATTTACTTTCAGGGTAGGTTGTGTTTTCAGGGAAATGGTAGTGCCGGGGTGAAAATTCATGCAAATCTTTTGGATAGAGGTGTACCTTCTGACCTCAGTTGCTTTTTTCTTTTTCTTTTTCAGAATGCAGTAATAGTGGCCTTGTCATCGAAATCATGGGACGTAGAAAGAGCAACAGAACTACTCCTGAGTAACTGAGCAGAAACTGCTTCAGTGTAGCCCAGCCTGCCTCTTCCTTGAGGAGCGTCATGTCGTCATCTCTTCTTTTTAGGTTTCAATATAGATTCTCTTTTAAAACTGGCGTTCTTGCCTGATGCTATCTAGGCCCTGTTGGGAGACTGACAAAAACAAAAAACAAAAACTGCTTTGTAAATAAAGCTAATTAAACATCTGTGTAAATTTAAAACAAAAAAAAAGAAACAAAACAAAAAAAGGGGGCGAAATACTTTATTTTTTTTTTCCTTACTAAATATTGTAAATTCCTTGAGCTTGGCTAAAAAAAAGAGAGAGAGAGAGAGAGAGAGAGAGAAAATTTAGTGCTAGCAGTGTGAGCAAGACTTAAGCAGGAATTTGCATCAGGATTTTGACTTTGTTCAGAACACATCATGTTGTGTCTGTCATCATCGTTGTCACTCATCCCGGCTCCCTTAAACCGTTTTTTAAAGATGGATCGATCCTACATGCCCGTGGACTGACCTTAATATTTGCATGCTTGTACTTTTACCTAGATGCTTTGAGCAAGTAGGGTGAACTGAACACAGCACCAATTGAAGTACTTTAAAAAAAAAAAAAGAGTATTCATTCTTGTAAACTTTTTGCCTAAAAAGATTTTTTTCCAGATGGCCTCGAAACTCAACGTTTGGGGGTGGGGAGGGTGGCCCTCACTGTTATTTTCATTACCTTTTGGGGGGAGGTTTAACAATCCTGAACCCCTCCTTCCCAGCCTCCCCCCCCCCCCCCCCCCCCCCAAGCTGCACGCACAGTTGCAATAATCACCCTAGGAACATCTCCAGAAATTGTGGGGTGCCTGTGGCATCTGGCCTCGTTGTCCCACTTCGTGTGGTCTTTGGAATAACCCGTACACAAGTGTTTCCACCGTTGTAATTTCTACACAAAATTGTATAAAAAGGTTTGGTCTCTTTTGGACATAGCACAAACCCAGTGGAGCTGCTGTTTTATTTCTTCTTGCAGGAAATCAAACCTCTTTCAATAAATTCTGGCTAGAATGAATGTGCTGAAAGGAGCCGGGTCTCTGTTAAAAACACTTGGGAATTGCCACTTTTTTCTGTGACGCTGTCAGCTTTTTGGACATAAATCAGCAGTGGCTTATAAAAAGGTGGTTTGTGCAAGAACCACTTGTGTGTGTGTTTCTCCCCAGCTGACATTTGGAAATCCTGTTGGTTTTTGGTTTTTGTTTTTTTTACTGTACATATATGTTCAATGCCGGTAATTTCTCCCAAGATGAGCAGTCCTGCTAAAGGAGCTGTACATATACAGTGTGTATTCACTCTTCAGGTTGTTAAGTTTTCTATAAGACAACAAAAACACCTATTTTTTGTTGAAAGGGGGGGAAAATTTGTCGAGCCTTCCCGCAAATTCTTCTGAGCAAAAATGAAGCATATCAAATTTATTTGCCGCAATCCCAATTTCGTATGTACTGTAGATAGAAAAGGTTTACATTGAGAATATGTCTTTTTAACTGAAGAACAGGCAATGGGCTACTTGTAGGTTTTTGCGAAATTGTCATGTTACATTACTGTAATATATATATAATCTCGAGATGTGCGTGCAGGATTCCCTCCTGCAAGTTATTCAAGTTATAGTTTCAGATACTATGACACAGAAAATAGTAATTATTTGTGCAATAGGAGGCACTGCTTTTTTTCACATCCCATTTCTGCCTTGGGTGATTGTGTGATTTATCGGACACGTCACATCAATCACTGGCAGAAGCCAAAGGAAATGTGATTCCCCCCCTTTTTTTTTTTTTTTTGGTTGGTATTTCTTCAATATTTATTTTTTTTTTAAAAAAAAGAAAAATTGTTGCTGCTCAACATTTTTTGTTAAAATACTAGCTGGGGCAAATACAGCCCTTAGCAATTTGCCATTTGTGTTTGTATTTTTTTTTTAATAGTCTATATTTCGATGAGGTCATCACAATATGATTTACCCTGGTGGTAATTGTGTAAGCATACGATTTCATATTTCCTTGTTCTTTGCGCATTATTAAACGAAAGACCTGGGGAGTAGGTAGTTGGGATAAAAATGTCGTCTTTTATATTTCGATAACCTTTCTAAGGGAAAATTCTGCGGTGGGGTCAAATGAAATTAGCAAGGCTCTGAACGCAGGAAGGGGGCCTGGTGATAGATACGGGTAGTCCTTGACTTACAATTCATAAAGCTCATTTAGTGACCATTGGAAGTTACAACGGCATTGGAAAATGTGACATTGCCATTTTCCACACGCCCTTTGTAGCATTCCCACGGCCATGCAATCCCCTTTTGCGACCTCTTCAGCAAAGTCAATGGAGAAGTGAGATTCACTTCGCGTGTTACTAAGTTACAACGGTGGTGATTCGCTCAATGGCTGTGACAAGAAAGGTCGTAAAATGAGGCAAAACTCATTGAACAACTGTCTCACTTTTGGGCTCCATTGGGGTCGAGTCAAGAACTACCTGTACGTCACTGTTCAGCTGTTCCTTGAATACTTTCAGTGATAATTTCAGCTTAGCTTTAAACTTCTCCATAAAAGAGAGTGAACATTGGACAATGGGAGAGCCAATTTATATGGAAAACTCTAGAAGTACTAAGTTTGGCTAGTGCTTCAACCCTAATTCAACGAATAGAAATGTAGGGAGAAAGGATTGGCCTATATATGTTTAACCAAGACTGATAATATAACTAGCAGTGAGAGGGACTAGATCCTTGTGTTGGACCTGGAAGGCAATTGAGCTGAACAGGTGAAAATGCTGTCAGGATAAATCTAAATTGCAGATAGCAATGACTTGGAAATGATTGGCTAAATTTACAGCCCCCCCCCCCCCCCAAATAAAGGTGATGAAGCCTCCATAGAGCAACCTTTTTGAATGTGGTATATACGTGTACGGTAAAGCTGCTGAGTAATGTACTCAGTGCGCACAACGCAGAAGAGAACCTGGGCTGTCCAGCTTTGGTTTGGAGTGTTTTTCAAAGAGATCTGGGATTGGTTAATAATTCAGAAAAGATGCTTTTCCCCAGAGACCTTAGCCAAGTGCAAAAACACATCATATAGAAGCACTTTTCAAGGTCCCTATTGGACGCCCGCTCTTCTTTCCCTATCACAAGGTCTTGTTCAAGGGGTGGCGTACTTGTACTACTGACTTAATGACAAATAAAGTTTCCCCATTCCAGCTCCTCGGTAATCCGAGACCCGTGTTTTTCAACCGTGTTTTAGTGTTCGTTTTGTCCAAAGTGATCGGATTTCTACAATGCGTCGTCGTCTTCCCCGTTGCCTCCGTTTGGGGTATAGTGGAACTCCGCTACAGCAGCCCAGAGTAAATGAAACCGGCTGCAGCCCGAGTAAATTCTGCAAACGTGACACCGGATCCTCATTTTGGAAAAGGCAACGTGAACCTTTTTTTGCTCATACTTTATCATTTCATTGCAGAGAGAACGCTTCTTCGGCCCAATAGTAGTCCTTCCAAACCTGCCAGACTTTTGCAGCCACGGGATTTTGTTTGAGAAGGGGCTTCTTTTGGCCTCAACAGCCTTATAAATAAAACAGTTCAACTTCCACAATTGCAGCAGCCTGGCCCAGGTAGCAGGTAAACCCAGCAGAGCAAGAATGGCACATAGGGCAGGAATGACACGTGAGGGGATAGGTGGGTGTATGTGGGGCTGAGGCGCACACAAAGTGGCCCGCTTCTCATCCTTCTCACCCCATGGACTACATAAAAGCTCGTTGCTGGAATAAAAGCTGCTGGCATCGGAGGGGACAACGTTGGGGGTGACCAGGCATCGGCAGGAGCTGAAGGGCGATGAAGGTAGACTGGAAAGCAGCCCCAGCCTGCGAGGGGACAAACGTTAAGCCCAAAGGCTTGTCTGGTTGAAGATTGTAGGCTGTGGCCAAAGAACGATACCCGCAATTCAGTGGAGAGCTGCAGGAACCACGTTCCTATTGGGATGAATGGAGCACTCTGAGGAGGAGGAGGAGGCCTCTGAAATTCTTGGTTAAGGAGCAGGTGGAAGGGCTGCAGCACCATAGAGATCAGCCCTGGCAAGAGGAAACCACATGCAAGGGTGGGGATGAGAGACACGATGCCCTGCCCTTTGTTTCTTGTGATTTCCCTGGTGGGCTTTTTTTTGGCTCACGGAATCCCTCACAGAGGGTATATATGTCTCCAAAGACCCAGACTTTGTTGCCAAATTGCTGAGGAGGAAATGGACAGGGGAAGTGAAGGATGCCCCCGGCCAGCAGTCTCCTGTAGGAAGTGGAGCAGGTGAGGCCTCTTGAATCTGAAGAAGAGCTGGAAGCAGTTGATGGAGGCTTGGGCATGGAAGAACCTCCGCTCTACTGCCAATGGCCAAGCCCAAAGTTTCTAAACCTCACAGCATCCCTCTGGCTTTCACCTCGTGCTCCTGTTGTTGTTCTTGTTGGAGCTGCTCTTCTTTGGAGAACCTCTTCCCAGCCAAGACCAACCCTTTCGAACTGAAGGAAATCCAGGCAGACCTGCGTTGTAATGGTTAAGGTGTTAGACAGGGCCATGAAGATCTAGAATCCTGGTTTTACCTCCAGCCACGGAAGCTCATCACTTTCTTTCCCAGGCCAGCCTACCTGTGATGACCAGGAGTGTAACACAAACGTAACAAAATCCAAAACCTAAAAAAATATCCTTCAGTGCCTCCAGGTTGGCCCCACTGTTCAATAATTCTCAGTTGGAGATAAAATGTACTCAAAAATAGTCTTCAAAAGAAAGCAATACAGTCCGAACTTAATGAGCAGGTAGAGATGAAATAAAAAACCAAAACAAACTACAATGAAGGAAGTTCCACAACGGACCAAGATAAGTAATTACCAACTTCAAGGAGATAACAAGGCACAGTCTGTTGGAAGGACGCCAACCAAGATAACTTCAGCCCAAAATAAAATGCGCTTTGCTTCTGGCAACTCTGTGTTGTAACTGCCTCTCTCTTATATACTATTCTCCCCAGCTGCAACCAATGAGAGGGATCATTGTTACCTTCTCCGTTCCTCCCTGCTTGTCCTAGGATGGATAGGGGATGGGCCTGGGTCTTCCTCTGACTGCTCAGCCAGCCTCTGCCCTTCCCCAGCCTCCTCCACAACCTCCAGAGCCACACCTCCACTTCCTGTTGACTGTTCCTCCTCTCCCTTAGAGTCCAACTCTAACAAGGGCATGACACTACCTGAGGGGATTGTGGTGGTGAAGGGAGGAGGAGGATGAAGACAGAACCTGAACAAGCCCTTCTCCTGAGAGGCAGGATGAGATGGCTCTCCGAGCATTGTTCTCAATGAGACACCCATTGCCTTCCAGGAATTTGACGGAGGATTCCAAATGTGGCTACTCCAACCAAGGAGACCATCTTTGTTCCGATTGCTATTGCTCTCCACATCGGTCTAAGAGAAGCTCCAGGATCTCCTTCCTTGCAGAGATTCCTGCCAAGTTACGAAAGGAGAGACATTTCTACATCCAACTCCTATCACGCCACAAATTTGGCCCAGATCTTGGAATATTTGCTTATTTAACTCCATGACCTTTATGGCCACATGGGTAAGTCCTTGGCGTACGACCACAAGCCAGAGCCCCTGTTAAGTGAGGCATTTGTTCAGCGACTTTGGCCCGGTTTTACGACATTCCTGTCCCACGGTTCTAAAGTGAATCACTGCCGCTGTTAAGTTAGTAACACGGTTAAGTGAATCTGGCCTCCCCCATTGACTTTGTGGGGGGGGGGGTTGCAAAAAGATGATTGCATGATCCCAGGACATGCAACGGTCATAAATACAAATCAGTTGTCAAGCATCCGAATGTAAAATCACGGGACTGTGGGGATGCTGCAACGGTGATAAGTATGGGCCTAAGTCCCCTTTTTCAGTGCTGTTGTAACTTCAAGCGATCAGCAAGTGAACTGTTGCAAGCAGGGGTGGGATCTTACCGGTGTAACTACCGGTTTGGTGATTTATTTTTGTGCACGTGCATGAAATATTGTGAGCTGTGCTGCCCGGACAACTGAGCAGTGATGCGTGCGGGTGCACAGCATTTGAAAAAGCACCATTTTCCTGCTTTTTCAACCGCAGCTGTGCCGCGCAAAGCAGTTGAGGTTGAAAAAGCAGGAAATAAAAGACAGGTAAGAGCCTGGGTGGGTGGGTGGGTGGGAACTGGTTCTGTATCTGCTGCTCTTCAGAGCTACCAGTTCTACAGAGCGGGACAGAACCGACAGAATCCCGCCCCTGGTTGTAAGTCGAGGACTAGCTGTGCCATCAGTGCTTCAATCGCCACTCCCCTTTCCCTAATCGGAGGCAAGCAAAATTCTGCTTTGAACTTTTCAAAGGATTTTAGTCACTTTTTTTTGCTCTGCATATAACTGGGATGGTGCTTAATGGCGGATGCACACAATGGGGACTATAAGGAGTAACACCTTGCGCCGCTTAGGTACTTCTTGGATTTGCCTGGTTCTTGCCCCCCCCCCCCCACCTTCCAGATTGTAGAGGGATAGGGAGGGGAGAATAGATGTAGCCAAAATAAAATACTTTCTCCTGGGAACCAAGGAGATTTTCACAGATGGTCAGAGAGGATAGGAGTGACATTACTGGGCGACCGGATGGCGCCTTGATTGGACCATGTGACTGACTGATTGGGAAAGGAGAAAAACTTTTGCTTTTAATTAGGTGAAAACTGTGGGAACTTTCAGTCGGTTTTCACCAGCTACGTGCCAATGCAATATGCCAAGAACAAAACTTTGAGGAACCAACCTGCCATGGAGTTCTGTTTGCTATGGGCGTATTATTTGGAACCCTGACATATATTTTGTAGGCTTTTCTACTACAAGAATAAAAACCTGTATTAATTTATCAGCATCTTAATTCTGCCTTCTCTGTTGTTTTTTTTATGCCGAGCATGCCTAAAATCCCATCCCGATAAAATTAAGGACATTTAGCGAGTGGGATCTCATGGAGACTGTTTGGCGATGACAAGACAATTGAGTTTTCAAAAGTTAGAAAACACAGGTCTCAGAGAGCACCAAGGACCCTTCATTTCAACCCCAAGCTACAAATATTCTCTTCTATCAATTTATTTGTTGCGTCATTTGTGTCTGCAATGAAACTCCCATTATTATTATTATTATTTTTTTGGGGGGGGAAGAAAGGATACTCCTTTAAATGGTATTAGCATTTTAGGGAACGAAGTCTCTGTAACAAGGAATAGCTATCACTTTGCTCCATGTTGCCCGGGGAATTCTGAGAGTTGGAAGTCCACAAGTTCTAAAGTTGCCAAGGTTGTTACACCACAGCTCGGAGACCGAATCCGACATACCAAGCCTTTATCAACTATGCTGCCATTTGTTTTACTGACATTGTGCTCCGCAAAAACCATCCATTTCTTTTGTGTTCGATCAACGTTTGGCAGCGATGGCTGAACATCGGAAAAATGGTTGTGTAAACTTGGGGGGAAAGCAGAAAGATACCAAATGACACCTAGAAGCATTTATTTTATGCAACCAACTTAAATATGATGGTGTGTACTTAAAAGCGTACACTATATGCTGAACAATGCCGGGGGGGGGGGAATCAACATTGATGCAAGTTTTCTAAATTAAATGTTAAAAAATGAGAAGGGGAAGGAAAACGTAAAACAGACTTAGTTTCAATCAAGACAATGCTTGAAATCCTAAACATTTTCAATGTTCCTTACAAAGCTGCCAAAAATCCAACTATTTTAAAAAATTGATTTTTTACATCAATAATAAAAATCTGGTGACAAACATTATAAAATCAAATCCTGGGATGACTTTACTCCATTTAGATTTAGAATATTCCAACAAAACAACAGGAGTAAACCCACTCAGAAGTGATATATGTTTTTTATAAAACGAACAATATGTACATTTATTGCAACTTATATTAAAACTAAAATGGAGCAGGAAATTAAAAAAAAAAGATGAAATGTCTACTTAAAAATCAATCATCAAATGATTAGTCTCCTACCCTGGATAAAAGTCAGAAAGCAACATTATAAAAATTGCCACTAGGTGACTTCTCAAAGCAGGAACCAAAATCTGTACATCTTATTTTGCTGGGGATAAAAATTATACATAAGTCTTTAAAATGAAAGCAGATGAGAATTCCATTTTGCAAGTATGTCTCAGTTTAAAAACCATTCGGTAGCCGCCTTCTTTTTCTTGAAAAAAAATATAGGTGATGGGCGATACCCAGTTAAGGTATGTGAATTTTTAACAATGGTATAAGGACCTCTCTCTGACTTTCTTTTAAAAAAATGCAGCATGAAAATTAATGGAGTAAAACACTTTTAAACTCCAGATGTGCAGAAACTGGAATTAAGTGTTAAGCAATTTGCTTAATTATTGACTTTTCATAAAAAAGTCTCTGGGGAAATAAGTACAGATGCTTTTAGCCTCTCTCAAGAGTTTCTGCAAATTCGTTTTATCTGAAAGGGAAGCAGAGTTTTCCTTCGGTGTTCAGAGCTGAAAGCTGTATGATCGGAAGTATTTTCAGTTCCTATATAGGACATTTCTTGGGTTTTGCAGAAGCTGGGAGCATACCGTCCTTTGGCTCTCCTCTCTTCCTTTTGCGAGGAAGTTTTCTTTTTACCTTGTGGAGGAGGGAAAACATAGGTTAAAACTCAGAAGAACATTCAACTCAACAATTAACTCGATCATTTTAAAAGGACCAACAGTCAATCTTCAACTATATGGATCACCTGGGCAGAGCAGAGGTATTGGTTTTAAGTATGCATAAGGGACCTTATTTATATAATTTGCATTGCTGTCTTTTGACATCTTTGGAATCAACAAAATCCCATTCCTTGGGGGTGAGTCTAACGCAAGGGTCTTCAAACTTGGCAAGTTTAAGACTTGTGGACTTCAACTCCCAGAATTCCTGAGCTAACATGACTGGAGGAGGAATGCTGGGAGTTGAAGTCCACAAGTCTTAAAGCTGTCAAGTTTGAAGACCCCTGGTCTAACTTAACATCTTGTTTGTTGCATTAAAAATACATTGAACGTGAGACCATGAACCTCAAGCGTTGTTGTATTTGACTGGTAAGGGATGGTTACATCAGCATTCCTCAGCTATTTCAGATGTTTTGGGAAACTGGAATAAGTGTACAAGGCAGTATTTGACTTATAACCAGTTTGCTTGGTGACTGTTGGAAGTGAAAGTGACCTATGACCATTCTTCACACTTCCCATTGTTGCAGCATCCCCAAGGTCACATGATCAAAATTCAGATGTGCTTAACAACTGTGTGACTAACTTAACTTTTATGCCATGGTGGTCAAGTGAATTACCCTGATTGTTAAGTGAATCACATGGTAGTTAAGCAATGTCTCTGCTTCTCAAAAACTGGTTTGGGAAGGTAACGAAGACAGATCATATGATCTGGGATGGAGTGACTATCGTAAATATATGCAGGTTGCCCGGCGTTCAAATTTTGCGCCCATGACCATAGGGATGCCACAACAGTTGTGAGTGTGAGGACTGGTTGTAAGTCACTTTTTCCAGTGCCATAGTAACGTCAAACAGTCGCTAAAGCAAATTATTGCAAGTCAAGGACTCTATGCATATAGAACTGTAACTACATTATACTTTAAAAATTATGGGGTTTTTCCCTTTTTTCTCCTGTTGTATTTTTTCACTCTTTAAGAACATACTTTCTATGTATCTTTATTATAATTATCTTTGGTTCCACCCCCCTTGTGTCACCATCTTTAAAGCAATAAATAAACCAGCTTTCATTATCTAAGTTAACTGAATAAATAATCCTTAGTAACAAGAGAAAGAGAGTAGCCTGGGCTCCTAGTTTTCATCCTCTCCCTCCAGGACTGAGAGTTTAACGAACGAACGAACGGCGGAGCCCTGAATCTGCTGCCTCGTGCACCTTCAGCGAGCCTGCCTCTGTTAGAGCTCTCTCCTCAAGGTCCTCCTGGCTGCTCTCACAAAGTTTAAAAAGATCCATTTCACTCGCAGAATATCCTGGACTGGACTCTATCTCCAACACTGAATCTCCATCACTGCCCAGCACCTGGCTTCTGAAAGAAGGTCAGAATGGCAACATCATACGGAGAAGCAAAGTTCTGACTGAAATCACAGACTAACATCTAGGTCTCTTCCTTCCAAAGCGGAGCTTGGTTCATTCCTGGTTTTTTTTTTTGTTTTCAACACTGGAATAGGCTGACATGAGACATTTCCGTGATTTTACCGTGTTTCTCTGAAAATAAGACCCTGTCATATTTTTTTGGCCACCAAAAAGAGGCACCAGGTCTTATTTTGGAGGGACGTCATCCACTGACTAACCTCATTTGCGTGCATCACCCCTCCCCCCCTCAGCCTCCTTTTTGCTGTCAGAGGCCTTCAGGAACTTCTTCTGCGGCTGGCAAGGCTTTCCTGAAGGCCTCTGGAGCTGATAACAGAGCTCTGGATCTATCCAGAGCTTTGTTATCAGCTACAGAGGCCTTCAGGACAGCCTTGCCAGCCTTGCTGGCCGCAGAAGAAATGGGCAAGCAAGGCTGGTGTCGGGATATGCGAAGCCTGGCTACAACTGTCCAAAGGTAAGTAGGAGGGCAGCTCTTACCCCCCCACTCAATCCCTACCCTAGCTTAATTTTTACCTGTCTGCTCTGGAGTGGGTGGGGTCTTAATTAGAGCTTATTTTGAGGGTAGGGCTTATATTGGGTGCACATGTAAAAATCAAGCTAGGACTTACTTTCAGGGTAGGCTGTATTTTCGGGGAAACGGTAAAAACTACAGGTGTGATTTATAGTTAAGTATAAATGTTCTTGGTGGTAAATGTACCTTAAACTGCTTTTCAGGTAATCCACAGGATAAGGTTTACCTGCGTGAAGATACTGCAATAATGCCCAGCCCAATTTCAGATATAAAGAGAGGTTGATAAATACTTTACCAAGTATATTCCCAATTACTTAGGCCATTCAAAAATGTGCTCATATCTTATTAAATTTTACATTTTTCACTTTGAATTAGGATCACCATGTAATCTGCTTTTAAGTACTTTTCAAATCTAGCTTGCTATAAAGACTGAACTAAGGTTCCACAGATTTTATCTGGCTCTTATAGCTCTCACTGACCCAAAGTTCTCTGAATGAATCAAAACAAATACATTTTGCTTTGATGCACAGGGTCAAACTCAGATTAATCCCACCCGGCTTGAGCTCTCTATATGTCTTGGCAAAAGAGTGGACGCTTCTTTAAAACCAAAGCAAAGCAAAATGCTTTTCCTTCCTCTTAGGCAAAGCATAAATAATAACATACAGCAGCTTTTATTTACATGTTCTGTCATCTCCAAAGACTCAAGTCCTTCGTGAATACAGAAATCTTTAAAATGCAACAGACTTAATGATCATAGTAGAATAGGAGACATCTAGTTTTATCACCCTCTGACCTCTGGAAAAATCAGATACCACAAGTCACCCCCGCTGTAGTCATTTCTTGAATAGTTTCAGTGGGGCTTTGTAGTCACACGTGTATGTGCATAACGTATCCAAGTGTGCAAGGAGAAGAACTGTAGAGAAGAGATGGGAAGGCCACCGTAGGTGACTCAGAATGTGGAAGAGAGTGAGGATAATAGAATAGTGAAACAATAAAGACTGACGTGTGCATTTAATTCACCAAGGAATTGGAAGCCAGGCAGATGACCTGCTAATGGCAAAAAAGAGATTTGAGATTGTTCTCTTGCTTTGTGTGATTTGTGGCTTCTCTTATGCGTAGGAGACAATGCCTTTCGTGAATAAAAGACTACCAAATCTTTAGTGCTTGAGCCTGATAAATTTCAATGCTCAAAGCTCCTTATCATTTTGTGATTAGCAGTAATTCACAGCAGCTGCCATTGCTATTCAGAAGGAATTTTCCATCCTTCCTTCCATCCTTCATGCACTGGATGTCCTAAGATCATGGCCCTGGTATGAATCCTGGTCCCCCCAACTGGATAGCAATTAAGCAGAGATACACATTGAGTTGTGGATGGGTTGTTGCCATGCGAGTTGTGGTTTCAGAGGCACAATACGGGTTACCAACACAACTGGATCTCTACTACTGGAATATTACAAATTCCCCCGTTTTTTTCTGCTGAGGTTAAATCAAACGCAGCTCTGATTTTTTCCCCTTAAATGGGGAAAAAACTATTAAGTTTGCTATTATCCAAAGGATTTAAGTATGTGATTCCTTTTACTTTTGAATCACCACAAAACCTTGGGAGGCTGAGCAAGGGAAGGTATGTACTCAATGAACAAAAACAAATAATTGCAGTATTGTCCCTAGGGGAAATTCAGCAAGGAGAGAAGAGTAGGGAGGCACGTAGTGAGACAGGTAAGATTTGTCCCCAAGAATAAACAGCCCCGTCACCAATTACGGCAACTTTCCCTAACGGTGAGAACAATCAGTCAGCGGAACAACTTGCCTCCAGAAATTGTGGCTGCTCCAACCCTGGAGGTTTTTAGGACGAGATTGAAGGAAGAGATTGGCCAACCATTTGTCTGAAATGGTATAGGGCAGTGATGGCTAACCTTTTCGTTGTCGCGTGCCAAAAGTGCGCGCACGCACACGTGCCTGCACCCATAATGCAATATGCGCACCACCCCCCTCTGCCCCCCTGCGCATGCGTGCATGCCACTCCATGCACACAGCGCACTTGACTCCCCCCTGCGAGCACCCTGCCTCCCTGCGCATGTACCTCCCGTGCGCCCCCCACCCTCATGCAGCAGATACCCAACAATCAGCTGGCTGGCGGGAGGCACGTGCATGCGCAGTGGATCTGTTCCAGGCAATGGTTCGCGTCCTGGCAGAAATGGCTCTGCGTGCCACTTCCGGCATGCGTGCCATAGATTTGCCATCATGGGTATAGGGCAGGGGTGGGATTCAAATTTTTAACAACCCAGTTCTGTGGGCGTGGCTTAGGTGGTAGGCATGGCTTGGTGGTCATGTGACTGGGTGAGTGTGGCTTGGTGGTCATGTTATTGGCTGGATGTGGCCAACTTAATATCACTCACATCGAGGCACGCATCTCCTCGCCTGGCCTCTCATGACTATGGGGATGCTGCAACAGTTGTAAGTGTGAAAAAGGGTCATAAACCACTTTTTTCAGTGCCATTGTAATTTTGAATGGTCACTCCACACAAGCAAAGTGCCAGCAAAGGAGGGGGAAAAACTCCAGAGATGTTCCAGAGACAGGAAGTCTAGTCCTGCCAAGAATGTAATAAGGGTTAACGGAGAGGCAGTTTCTGTAAGCAACACCAGAATGTTTCCTTCCTGCCTTCCTTACAGGATTAGGCCAATAATCTCTTCTGACAACCGGTTCTCTGAACTGCTTAAAATGTTAAATGTTAAAATGTTCTAGCGAATAGGTGCAAACTGATAGAATCCCACCCCTGGTATAGGGTCTCCTGCTTGACCGGAGCATTGGACTAGAAGACCTCTAAAGTTCCTTTCAACTTGATTTGACCTTCCCCGCCCAATAAAACCAGAAAGGGCTCATGCCAGCAGTCTTCGGATGTGATTAACTAACCCTCCCTCCCTCCCCCAAGGAGACCAAGCCAGCCTGTGTTGTACCTTTGCAGGTCAATCTGCCTCTGTGCTGGTGCTGTTTTCTTGGTGGCCTCTTGCTGCTTTGGTGCCTTGGCATTGCTTGCCTCCAGTCCGCCCGGACCTTCTGAAGCCGGGGCTGCCCTTTTCCGTCCTCGTCCGGAGGGTTTACTCATTTCGGCACTTTTCGTGGTGGCTCCCTGAGATTCAGACTTGGGGGGACGTCCTCGCCGGGGTTTGGGAGGAGCCGGCTGACCCGTTTCATCTGTTTTCTTCTCTTCTGCTTTTTGATGGAAATTCTCCGTCCCGGATGCTGTTGTGATTCTTTTTTTGCCCCGGTCAGCACTGACATTTTCTTGGGGTGCCTGGTCAGAATTAATCTCCTGGAAAAGAAAACAATTTAGTTTAGTTTTGTTTGTTTTGTTGCGTCGACCGAGTAGCAGGTGGAGACTGTGTCTGTTTCAATCACCTTGCCTTGCTTGCTGAAATACATTTCCAGAACTATTGGCAACACCAGCAGCCTCCTTGAAAGTGTAATTAATCCAAGGGGATTTACAGCTGCCAGAGGGATTTCTCGTCTCTGCGCCAGGCCCTTTCTCACACTCTGTTCACAGAATAAATAATGAACAGACCGTAGTGTCAAGGTCCCGGCGATTGCCCTAATTAAATCATGAGTCTCGAGCCAAGCTTCAAAAAAATTCAAAAAATTTATTAGGAGCAACATGCCGGCATTAACCTAAATGAAGCCAACTCTGGCATATGTAATTTACAGTCACCTGTGACCCTGCCCCCCCCCCCACATCCCCTGGGTGTATCATAAATCAGATTCTCCGATAAAGTACGTTCACTGGGCTGGGTGTCATCAATCACATTCTCCAATGAAGGATTTTGAGTATCATCAATCATGTTCTCCAATGAAGGATTTTCGGGGCTGAAGATCCAGTAGCCTAGCTACAATCTTTTTAAAATATGGGTGGAATGTACTTCTGGTTTTAAACTGCTCTACTGCTCCTTCAGATCCCACCCCCCAATTTATGGCAACTTGAAAACAGGCATAGGGGGACTTCTGGTGGCACTTCCCTCGAGGACAGATGGAGATTGTGATTGTGCGTGGCTTCAATCCGTGCTTGCTCTGTTGGAGGGGTCCCTATGGGACCGGAACCATCAGACCCACCTTGGAAGGGTGGGGAAAGAGGGGGAGACTGCCAGCCAGGTTGAGGGGAGCCGCATCTCCCCTCCCTGGCTTGGTATGCTCCCCTGGAAGACATGGATAAGCGGCAGTTTTAATGGCTGCCCTGAAGATGGGAAGCTACCAGGACTTAAGTGTGTGCTGGAGCGGTGAAGTGGTGAGCGGCGTGTAACCAGATAAGAGAAGCTGAACTTTTTGTTTCAATAACCCCGAAAAGCAGAAAGAAAGATTCCTTGAGAGTATAACAGCAGCGAATGGAAAACAAGAGGACAATATAAGGTAAATAAAAATTGGACTACAAAACAGCTAAAACGAAATTAAGGACGGAATTGGGAATAATATACAGAACCATGCAATAATTAGGCACTAGATAAACTACTGAACTTACTTGGAATTGATTATACTTTTTAAAAAAGCCAATGGTTGAAATGGTTGAAAATTAGCGTTAATATAATTGAAAAAAAGGGGGGGGGGGGAAGAACTTTGAAAAGTGGAAGCAATATAGAGCGCCACCTAATGGTACAAGACATTTTTTCCTGGATGACTTCATGGAAATTTACTGGTCTTTTAAATGCGTGAATGAGAAAAGATATGAAATAAAAGACTTTAATACAACAAGAACCCCGGAAGCTTAAAAGAAAAAAGGGGAGATTGCAGCAAGAGGATAAACAAAAGCAACATCTTAGGACTGTTGGGGGTTGACTGTCCAAAGGAAATAGAAGGACCAACAAGGAAAAGAGAAATAAACGGAGTCTCTTGGCAAGGATTACAATTATCTTTAATAAGATAAAGAATAACCCAACTGATTAAAAAAAATGGAAGAAGCAAGCAAAGAATTTAAGTTGGAACTGCAAACTGTGAAAGAAATGTTAAAAGAAAGAGGGGGACTATTGGACATACTGGCAGAAAAAGTAATGCAATTTATAGCAGAACAAAGGAACCCTAGAGAGGAGGAGCCAAAGGAAGAGGAAAACAGCCCAGATGGACATGAAGATTCAGAGACATTGCCAAAAGACACAAAAAGAATCAAAACTAAGACATTGATGACAAAGAAAATAAATAAAAGAGAAAACGTTTCCAAGAGTAAGCAAAAGAAGAAGCTGTACAAGAAGAAATTTCAAAAAAGAGAAAAGGAAAGGGGGGGAGGAAAGATGGGTGACTGGCAGATGGAAATAAAAGCAATCTTGGAGGAAAAAAGAGGGATAAAGAGGAAAGGCCAGGAAAGCTTAGTAAAGGGGGAAGCTGGCTAAAACTAAGAGAAATGACAAGACTGAGAGATTTAGAGATAAGGGTTAGATATAGCATAAAAGGGGGAATACTACATGGGAATGTATCTTTGTATTTTTTATTAGAAAGACTGAGGAGATTTTAAGTTTATAACTTACTGGGAATTACCTTAAGATTATTAGATAATTATAAATGAGAAAAATGAAGATGGAGTGAGCGATATTAAGAAGGTTCTATTGTTATCAATCCTTTCTTTTTTATATATAAATACATATTCTAAAATATGCTAATGACTATTTAAATGACATTAGGAAAACAGAATACGATGACGTGGGCGAAAATATGGTATTAATTATGTTCAAAAAGTGTGAATTGGGGTATATAAATGCTAAAGGTTGAAATTGGTCAAAGGGAAGTAAAAGTGGAAATTAACTCTGTTTTTACTTTTTGTGGTATACATGAAATAGAAAATGCAATTGATTATACAAATGATATGAGAAAGTAGAAAATATAATGAACTAGAAGGGATTATGGGGGAATGTAAAATATTTATAATGAATGTATTATATTATAATGAAAAGCAGGGAAATGAAAATTTATTAAAACTATATAGGTAAATTTTGGCTAAGTGAAAACAAAGAAAAAAAATTGAAATGATTATATGAATATCTCTGGAATATATACTGTATAAGATATATTGAAGATGGGGGGATATACCATGTGGATCCTGTATTAATCTTACTTTACTTTTACTCGATTTTTTTTCCTCATTGACTGTCTAATTATATATTGGTCTTGAGAAAGTTATAGGTGATAATAACACATAATGTAACATAAAATAGGAAGTAAGTTGAAAATGGAAATAACAGGCGATAAATAATTGAAAATACATGTGAAGATGAAATGATTTGGATATTGAATTAATGAATTGAAATATGAAAGGGAAATTTATCTAACGATTAGTTGAATGGATAATCATTTGAGGTTATATTAATTAAGAAAGTTGAAAACCCAACTATGACTATATATAAATATTGTAATCTGGAATCACATTGCTCACGTGAAGAGATGTGTAAAAAAAAATAAAAACAAAAAAACTTGGACTTTTTAAAAAAAGAAAGAAAACAGGCATAGGAATGTTTTACAAGATGACATATAGCTTTGATGTGACTGAGGCAAACTCCTTCTAGTCTGTATGGTCAAATGAGAACCCAGTTCGATTTGAAAACGAGAGAGCCATTTTGCACTAGAGCAGGGGTGTCCAACCTTGGCAACTTTAAGACTTGTGGACTTCAACTCTCAGAATTCCTCAGCCAGCTTTGCTGGCTGAGGAATTCTGGGAGTTGAAGTCCACAAGTCTTAAAGTTGCCAAGGTTGGACACCCCTGCTCTAGTGATTAAGGCACCAGGCTAAAACTTGGGAAAGAGTGAGTTCTGGTTGCGGGAGGGAGGCAAGGTACCCAGCCATTTGACTTTGGGTCCATCACCAGGAGACAGTGAGTTTTAGTCTCTCTTTAGGCATGAAAGCTGGCTGGGTGACTTTGGGCCAATCAACAGGAGACCATGAGTTCTAGTCTACGTTAGGCAGGAAAGCCAGCTGGGGGGCTTAGGGTCCATCATTCTCTCTCAGCCCAATCGACCCCAAAGGGTTATTATCATAGGGAAAACAGGAAGAGGGAATATGAGGTATGCTTGCCATCTTGAGTTATTTATAAAAAATAATAAAAGGTTATAAATAAATAAAAAGCCCAAGTTATTTTTAATTAGTCTCTCTGATCTCAGATTTATACTGGATCCGGTTTAAAGAGTTCTAACACAATTATTACTTTTAAAACTGTACTTTTTTTTAATCTTCTCTCTCCTGCTTGGTGTTCAAAAAGGCAGCACATATTATTATTATTTAAATCTGTTTGTTGGCCATGTCGCTGCAAGGCGACAAGGTGGTATCGAGTTTACTGTTGTCATCACAATAAATGGGAAGACAGGCTGAGAGAAAAGACAAGACTTATGGCTGAACAAGGAAATGACCAGAAACACTCTGATCTGCGTCCTGTGATTTGCCGATTCACAGTTCATGCTTAAAAGAAATTACAGGTAGTCCTTGACTTACAAAAAGTTCACTTAGTGACTGTTCAAAAGTTGCAACGGCATTGAAAAATGAGGCTTACGACCCTTTTCCACGCCTACGACTTTTGCAGCATCCCCAGCATCATGTGATCCAAATTCAAATGTTGGACAACCGGTTCATTTTTATGACAGCGGATTCACAATTAACAACTGGGTTATTAACTTATCTACTGCAGTAATTCATTTAAACAGTGGCAAGAAAGGCTGTAAAATGGCGGAAAACTCACTTAACAGACGTCTCCTCTTAACAGAAATTTGGGGCTCTATTGTAGGAACTACCTGTAATTCACCAAACTGGAAATATTATGGATACTCAACGTATACTGCTTGATTATTACAGCAGTAATTCTAACGGCTTCTTTATTAAGTTTCCCTACATAACAAACTTTTATAAGAAACTTGACCATACCTTGTTCTTCACAGGTTCCATTTTTGTTGGAGTGACTGAAATAATTCTCACTGGATTTTCATCATTTTCACTCACCCCCGTCTCTGATAGGTCTGAGCTTGGCTCCCTGCTGGACAAATTTTTAAAAGATTTAACATAAGCTTGTTTTTTCCCCCCCATTTGGAGCTACAAAACCAAATGATCAACAAGGAAACGGTGGCCAGCTGCATTGGGAGTTCATTATCAAATTCAGTGCATTTAGAAAATACTCAAAATAAAACTGTGTGTTTAATCCTACCCATCTTTGAGGGTGAGTGAAAGGAAACATTTTCTCTTAGGCAACTGTCATGCTTTACACTGAGAACGTTAGTTATATTAAGAGTTGTACGAATAACTCGACCAGCCTTTCTTTAAAACAGCTGTGTCTATCCTGGGGCTGCAACTCTGGCATCATCATCATCATCTTTTAATGACCTATAATCCCTTGCAGAGCGGAGTCTGGGCAACCGAATGGAGCTGAGTGTTTCCTGGCCGGATGCCCTTCCTGTTGCCAATGCGGAGTTTTGTTTAGCAGATATATTCTCATTGTGTCCAGAAAGAGAAATATCTGCCTCTATCTAGGATCGAACTAACAGCCTGATTGTGAGGCGAGAGCCACCGCACCACTCGACTGCAACACTAGCATGATTCCAGGAAAAGATGCATCTGCACACAGGCCTCCAAAAATACGATTTTGCCTCCAAATCGGAACAGCCGAATGGCCCTATAAAATATTGCTATTGTATGAAATATGATTTGAAGCACAAGCTCTCCAAACTCGGCAGCTTTGAGGCTTGTGGACTTCAACTCTCAGAATTCCTGGCTGGCTGAGTAGTTCTGGGAGTTGAAATCTTAAAGCTGCCAAGTTTGGAGGCCCCCAATTTAAAGGAAGTTTCCCTGAAGGAATGTAGAAGTACAACAAGAATAGGAATTCCAGTTCAAACAATTCTGAAAGGCAATTACATAATACAAAATAACTAAATAGCAAGCCTCATTGCTCCCCAGCAGATAACAAGGTTTGGAGAATGGAGATTATGGAGAATGGATGAAGATTTCACTGATTAAAGAAATATTACTTATTCAGGAGATACAGAAGTATTTACGTGCTCTATCGTATAGTAAATTCAATCCCCAAATGCAATGTTTAGAGGGTAAATAGGAAAGTTTAATTATTAACTAAATTTCTGCAATCAGGTTGAAAAAAGGCATCAATAGGAAAGACATCTCTCTTCAATATTAGGGTGACTTCAGTAGAGTTTCATGCTGAGAAGAAAAACTATTTGAACACAAGAGCCTATTTTAATACCTCACCCTTATTACTCAAAATGCCACAAACCTTGTTCTGTTTTCTATTGGAGAATTCAACTCTGAATTTACGCTATTATTATTTCCAGTTTCTGATCCTGTGTTTCGAATATATGGCCTTCTTCCCGTTGCAGATAGAGGTTTATTTACTGCCCCTAATACGCCGGTTGGTTTCGGCTACAAAATAGAAAAGAGGTTTACAAAAAAAGAAAGAAAGAAAAGTAATTATTCTTCTGCAAGGGCACATTTGAACTTGTTTGTTTGTCCTGTCTGCTACAGTTCTTCAGTCTCTTTTGCACTTTCTATGTAAACACAATTGTTTTGCTGAGCAAGGCCGTGAGCATAATTCAGGATTATTCTTCCGTGCTGGAAGCTACTAAGTATTGCAGATATAAAAGTCACAACAGGGAAGGCAGGGAGGTTTGGGGGGGGGGGGGGTGTGTGTGTGTGTGTGTGTGTGTGTGAGAGAGAGAGAGAGAGAGACAGACAGACAGACAGACAGACAGACAGACAGACAGACGGCATCTCTCATTTTATTTTCTTTCTTTCTACCACTAAAATTTGCAACTCTTTTTTTATTTGTTTTTGGTAATCATCCAGCAATTTTTTTTAAAAAAAAAGCACCCAAGGTAAATGTGAAAATAGGCTTTTAAATAGAGGGATATATAGTCCTCGATTTATAACTGTAATTGAGCCTGCCACCTTCTGAAGTTTATTATACATGCGCCATGCACAATTGAAAATTATTACCCCGCCAGCACAAAGTTGTGATGCAATGCACAGCTTTGCTGGCTGAGTCCTTCCAAATTAAGAGCTTATTTAAGTGGAATCCTAAGTGCTTTGAAGAATACAATCCTAAAATTCAATCCTTAAAATGCTTATGATGTCCTCTCAGTTAACAATCCAGATAACAGTCTATTTTTTAACTTTCTACGAAACTGGAAAACAGGTGATATAATGTGTTATATTGTTAGAAATCAAAAATTAGATCCATAAAAACAGTACCTTTCCTGTTAAAAGAAGAACTCTCAACTCTTCGGAGATATAATTCCTATCGTTACAAAAATCCTTCAAAGAAATGGAGGGGGGAAAAAGCATTTAATTGTTTAGTTGAAAAATCAAGTCTTTAGTATTTTCAGATTCTGGCTATTCAGTTTGACAGTAATCCCACCCTGTTGCTTCTAGATCGACTCCCTAAGTCAATAAAGGTTCATGTAAGGCTGGGGTGACCAATCTTGGCAATTTTAAGACTTCTGGACTTCAACTCCCAAACTTCCCCAGCCAGCAATGGGAATCCCAATCCCACAAATGGTGAAATAAATGCCATAAATCCAATTTACTTTCTGTTTCTGCGGCGTATTTGCAAGCTATTTATTATATTGTGCTGCAAATGACTTTTAAAAAAGGGAACAATTCAGGAACCATTCGTTTATTTATTTATTAGAATTTGTCGAACAAAAACAGGAATAATAATTAATAATAATAATAATAATAATAATAATAATAATAATAATAAAAAAAAATACAATACAATGACAGGGACGATAAGCACGTTAGTGCACTTATGCACACCCCCTCTACTGACCACTTAAGTATGAAGTAAGGTCCACGGAAGTCAATTTTGTGACTGAAACTGTGAAAATTTGTAGCTGAGACAACTGGATCAGGTAGAGCATTCCAGACTTCGACAACTCTATTACAGGAATCATATTTTTTTACAGTCAAGTTTGGGACAATTTACATGGAGTTTGCTCTAGAACAGAGGTCGGCAACCTTAAACGCTCAAAAAGCCATTTGGATCCGTTTCCCACAGAAAAAAAAACCACTGGGAGCCACAAAACCTACTGGGGGTTGAAAAGTTCAATAAATCGTGTGCAGGTGTCGCACATTGGTGGTTGTGACACATATTTTGAGTGACAGGAAGCTGCAGCAGAGGGATGAAAGAGCCACATGCGGCTCTGGAGATGCAGGTTGCTGACCCCTGCTCTAGAATATTTTCGAATTGCCCCTGGATAAATTAAAAACTGGATCCTGCAGTTCAGAACAGTCTATGTTTATAAAGACATCAAGAACCATGGTCATTTTATATGTGCTTAGGCTAAAATGGACCTTATTGCCTACCTTCTTCCTTTTATGGCCTGGCCTTTATATAATTGGCTGATATAATACGTCGGATATAAAGACAGTTCTGCATCCACATATTATATACACCCAGGATTTCTTTTTTCTTAGCATTAGAAAACTACGCTTAGAAACTAAGAGTCGCATCATCCAATCACTGCAGCGTCCGCATCTATTACTTGGAACCCTGGCACTACGTTTATCTGAACAAGCACTAAACGTAAAGCATTTTCAGCATTATGTTTCCACTGGAGAGAAAATAATTTTGGAATACAGTTTTTTTATTCAGGTAATCATCTTTAAAAAGAGAGAGAGAGAGAAAACATGGCATAAACCTGCACAGTGTTTTCTTGGCATATTTGAAGAAACAGTTAAATCAAAGAATAAACTCAAATATTTGGCTTGATTGCTAGCCAATGTACCTTTTCAGGCTGCGCAAAAAATTTAGTTGGCAACACCGGATCCTTTGGACATTCTGCATTACATAAAGCACTTTTGCTGTTGATTACACAGAGGGCTACGTCACATACGGTGTAGAGTTTCTGAAGCACAAAGGAAACCAACACAAGAGAAATTTGGACATTATTTTGCAATTTTAATTCAAACATTTGCTAATCCCCATCAATAAGTCACCTATCGTAAGACTGTCATGCTTTTTGTTTTAACTAGATTATACTTGGGAACAAACTAAAGGCACCCTTTTGTTCCAAGATAGCAAACATATTTCAAATGATGACTGATCCAGAGGATCTTGGCTCACGAAACCATAATTCATAGTGCACATGATGCATCTTCAAGTTCCCACCAAATTAGGTGCTATTTTTGCTATTCTGTGAATGTACCATTCACTGTACATTTGGCAGGTATACTTGTCAATCTCAGCTGTAATATTTCCCCCCTTACAGAATGCTGCTTTTATTTAGCTTGGCTAACAGTTAAATTAACTTTTTTCCCTTCTGTTATTTGAGATTGCTAACACAAAATGCTTCAACCTCATTTGCTCTCTGGAGAGAAATGAGAGACTGCCTTTTTTTTCCACTTGATCCAAAACTGACTTCAAACCCCCTTGTTTCTCTTTCCCCACATTTCTTACTTCATTGGCCTTTGGCTCGTCTGGAGACTGGGCATCCTGTGTAAGCTTGATACTTTCTGTCATCTTTTTCATGAAGGCGTGGCTGTTGTTTTCATTCTTGGTCATTAAAACTTCCAGCATGAACCACAGGCACCTAAAGACCCAAATGCCAGAAAGATATAAAAATACTTCTCTCTAAATAAAAGGCAGTTTAACCTGCTAGGAACTCCAGCAGATCTGACCCTGGAGACTGATATATATTAGAACTCTGTGCCTCTCTCCCCCGTGCAAAAGAGACTAGTATCTAAACTTCTGGACCGTGGTCTTTCTTATTCAATCTGCCTTTGTATTATGGATTTCCTGTCTGGCTGCTCACAGAGGGTCAGATTAGGTAATCATACCTCTTCAGCCCTTATTCTTAACACTGGTGCATCACAAGGTTGCATGTTGAGTCCCTTACTCTATACTCTTTATGTGCATGACTGCATTCCCACTCACACTAGTAATACTATTGCTAAATTTGCAGATGATACAACAGTGTGGGACTCATCTCCAGGGGGGATGAGTCTGCCTACCGAGATGAGGTGGACCGGTTGCTTTTGTGGTGTGGGGACAATAACTTGGTCCTCAACACCAATAAGACCAAGGAGCTGATAGTGGACTATATAGAAGGAACAGATCAGACATCCAGCCCTTGCTTATCAATGGGAACCGAGTGGAGCCAGTTTTAAGTTGCTGGGTGTTACCATAAAATGGGACCTGACTTCACATTGCAGGTCAAAAGGGCCCAGCAGAGATTATACTACCTGAGACTTCTCAGGAAACAACAACTGAATGAAAAACTGCTGGTGACCTTCTACCGCTGCACCACAGAGAGTATCTTAACTTACTGCACCTGTCTCTGGTTTGCCAATTGCACAGTAGAAGATAGGACGGCATTCCAGAGGGTTAATGTCATTGCCCAGAAGATCATTGGTTGCCCTCTCCCCTCTTTGGAAGAGCTTCATAGCTCCCGCTGCCTTAAGAAAGTTCAAAACATTCTCAAAGATCCATCTCATCCTGGGCACCATGTTTGTTTTGAACTATTACCATCTGGCAGACGGTACAGGAGAATAATAAAAACCAGGACAAAAAAGCTGGAATATAGCTTCTATCCCAGGGCAGTAGTTCTTTTGAATTCTGCTGTATAGTGCAATATGAATGCAATATCAGGGATTTTCAATTCAATGTATAGAATGGGAAGGATGTGTGTTTGTGTTTATTTTCAGTCATAATGTACACTGAAGATGGTATTTAATTTTGTTGTACGAGGTGCAATGACAATAAAATAAAAAGATGGTAAGAAAGAATTTGATGTAGGAGCTACGAAGTAAGATTAATGAAGTACAGAGGAGTGCTCATACCAGAAAAATATATATCTGTAAATGTAGTTAGTACAGGTAGTCATCGAGTTACAGCCACAACTGAGCCCAAAATTTTGTGTTGCTAAGTGAAACATTTGTTAAGAGAGTTTTGCCCCATTTTATAATTTTCCTTGGCAGTTATTAAGTAAATCCCTGCAGTTGAGAAATTAGTAACACGGTTGTTAAGTGTGAAACTGGCTTCCCCATTGACTTTGTAAGTTAGGAGGTCGCAAGAGGGGATCGCGTGACCTTGGGACACAGCAACGGTCCTAACTATGAACTAGTTGTCAAGCATCTGAATTTTGACCACATGATCATGGGGATGCTGCAATGGTCGCATCTGTGAAAAATAGTCATAAGTCACTTTTTTCAGTGCCATTGTAACTTTGAACGGTGACTAAATGAACTGTTGTAAGTCAAAGACAACCTGTAATAAAAGTGGAGGAAATTCAGTCTTAAAATAAAGCAAACAAACAAACTGTAACTAAAAATCCGCACAAACCACTCTGCAGTAATTAACTGGACAGGGCAGGAGAAGGAATCGCAGACTTGAAAGCTCAGCAAAACACACACAGTTGGGAAGACGCCAGGAACCCAAATAAGCCTCGACGATACCAGATAATTCACAATTTTCTCCCAACAACTTTGTTGTGCACAGCTTCCCTTTTTAAACACTGTGTTCCCAACTGCAGCTAATGAAGGGAATCAGGGCCCTTTCCTCCCTGTAAGCCACGCAACTCATGTTGCTTCCTTTTCCGTTCCTCCCTGCATGCCCTAGGATGAAGAGGGGGTGGGCCTGGGTCTTCCTCTGAACTGCCTCTCCCTTGCTCTAACTCTCCCCTGCTCTGCCCAGCCGGACTGTGCCCTTCCCGTTTCTTCCACAGCCAACGGAGCCACACTCCCACTCCCTGTCAGCTGCTTGGCCTCTCCCTCTGAATCAGATTCCGACAGGGGCATGACATTCCCTTTATGTATCACTAGTTCCCACATGAAATTCAAATGACAAATATTCAGATGGCAAAGATGTACAAAAGAGGAAAAAATGAAAAGAAGCTAAATACTTAGAAGAATTGCAAATATGCTGGAAGTGACAATTATTCTTCCCTTCTCTTAACAAATCAGGGCATTAAGTTTGTATTTAAAAAGTCCAGAAATGTAGCAATTTAAATCCCAACATTTTAAAGATGCTTAAATCAAGGGTGACACATACTCCTTGATATCGCGAAGCTGATCGATATCTTGCTGTTTTGTAAAATCTGGATCGTGAGCCAGCAAATGAATCATATATGGCACCACATACTCGGGCAACAGAGATACGAGTTTTTCTGGAAGAAGAAAGAAGACATAATGCTAAAGGTTATACATGAGTAACTGGCACACCAAATTTCACTTACTAAGTATCAGAGAATTTACTCTTTTTCTGGTGCAAAGCAGCAAGCAGGGAATATGCACATGATATATTTTGCAGAGCCATAAACAGAAATATTGAGAGAAAAATGGCTCACCGTTTGCCATAGGGTTCTGCTTGATGTACTCTCGCCGTATGCTTATATTTTTAAGCAAACATTGCCGAGCGTGAGCTCTTCTTTCTTTTACAGGGTCTTTGGCACACAGTGCGAATATCGCCATGTACTCCAATGGGAGCAGTAATTTTACTAGTGCCTTATGTAGCTTCTGAGCAAATATCTGCCTCACCTGGTAACATTCATCCTATACGAGGAGAAGGACAATGAAGAGAAAGAGGGCAAACAGACTTTCAGAACAGTGATATGGGATGTTAAAAGCCTGCTTATCTATGGCAGGGGTCCCCAACAACACCCCCCCCCAAGTTCGTGGCATGCCAGAAACTGGGCCACACAAACAAGCGAAGTCCCATCTGCGGGATGCAGGCAGCATGCAAAACCACACCCCTGTTCTGGCCTGGCCTTCGCAGAAGCAAGAAAACAGACTCCCCACGAAGGAAAAATCCCTATTTACAACTTGGGAATTAACTGCCTGCACCAACAGAAAGTCCAGGCAAGAGTCCTGCAAGCAGTTAAATGAAACAATAGTCCTTATCAGCTCGTTATGATAAATGCAAGGCTGTGAGTTTCCAGCCGGGAGGCGGCAGCTCAAACAAGAGAAATAGACAAACCTCAGTTCTGGCAAGGCAATCTTTGTCCCACGAAACACACACAAGGAGCCAACTTTCCAGAAGCTCCCACGGTTGCCTGTGACAACCAAACCACTCCCCTTTCCTCCTATTTATTCCTCAGACAGGGAGGGGTCGGTCAGCGTCCACGTTTGTTTTGCTTTCTGACCCAGCTCAGAGTCCTCCATTGTTCACCTCTCCTATCTGCTCTGTGCATACATGCATCCGGAACAGGCCCCAGCTATTCCTCCTCCTCACTCATCTCTGACTCCAAAGGCAGCTGCCTCTCTGGCTGAGAAATGGCAGACGGCCCTGGCTCTATCTTTTGTGTCCAACGCCGAGCATCCATCAGAACTTTCCCCAGGCTCCAGAACTGGCCCAAGTTCTTCCCCAATCTCTGCTGGCAGGCCACAACAGCCGCCTCCGGTCCACAGAAAAGCCTTTCTCCTTGAAACCCGTCCCTGGTGCCCAAAAGATTGGGGGCTGCTGATCTATGGCATTATAGGTAAATCATTGATACAATCAATTTTATTTTGGTTTCCATTTCATGCTTCCTCGCATGAAACACTCTGCACTGGAGACAACATGTACCAAAAAAGAGAAAGGCAAGTCAACGCCAGTTTTATCCCGTTTTAACTCAAATTGCTACCGGCTCCAGACACTACTTGAAACAGAGCTCCTTACATTAATGACCAGTGCACAGAGCTGGAATTGTTCTGGTGTTATAATTTCGTGGTAACAAGGCTCTTGGGCAAGCTTCATTATGGCACTGCCAGCAGCCAACCGTAGTCGCGACATGTCTGATTTGCTGTAAATGAAAAAAAAGAAAGAAAGTATACTTTCAAAAATAACGTTTTTTAAATCCAAAGACCGATAAGCTGATAACTCTAACAAAATGTCTCACACAGATACAATGAGTTCTGGTTGAGATTACTGTTATCACCCTCTCTTAAAGTCTCACATTAATTAACAAACACAGATTTTCATTACCAGCTTTGGCTATTTTTTTTTAAGCTGTACATCTTTATAGACTGCATGTTTGTGCTAAAATTCTGTGACTTATAGTCCACAAGTGACAATTTATACCCATGGCCAGGTCTTGTATTTCTGCTGGATCTGAATTAGCACCTTTAGGGTACAAACTCAGCTGCAAATGGACTGATATTTCCAAATCAAGTTGCATACAAGCTAGAAAGTAATACTTCAGTATTAGCCTTCCATTTTCCCCCAATATGGACTCTACCGAGTATCTGATTTTTCTTCTCTTTAAAGAAGTCTGCTTAATCTATAAATGTAGCACAGAATATTCAAAAATGTTTCATTTCTCATTCGTGCTGAAGAGAAATTTGAACAGCTCAACCCACGCTGAACGTCTGTGTGTTTTCAGTATTCCAAATTCAGCAAGGGAATGCAAGGAGAGACCCTTTGTTCCCTTGGGTGAACAGATGTCCCTTGCTGCCTTGACGCACATCAATGCATGCAACGGTGGGACTCAAACATTTTTACTACCAGTTCTGTGGGTGTGGCTTGGTGGGCACTACGTGGCAGGGGAAGGATACTGCAAAATCCCCCTTCCCTCCCCACCCCACTAACCTGCTTTCCAGCTCCGTTCTCCTGTGCAGGGCAACAAAAGAAGACCCAGCCGATCAGCTGGGACTCAGGAGGCAGAGAATAGATGGGGGCAGGGTAGTCAGAGGTGGGATTTGCCAGTTCTCCGAACTACTCAACGTTTCTGCTACCGGTTCTCCAAATCTGGTCAGAACTGGCTGAATACCACCTCTGGCATGCACGTGAAGAGATCCAGAGCGGTGACATATATCAAAAAGCCTTGCCTAATTCTCTTCTGTTCTGTCAAGTCTCCTTCGCTGACCAACATGGCTGATAGCAACCGAAGCGTTGAATTTGCAGACTTGGACTGGTTGTTCTTCATCCCCAAGAGCCAACGCACCAGGAGTTTAATGGCTTGGACCTGTCGTAAAAACACAAATACTGTGGTGAGGAAGTCTGCTTCACTTCCAGTCCTCGAGAATCAGTTCTAAAGAAAAAGGACAGGTCTTATGGTTGCCACTGCCAGAAAACTAAAATAAGCAATGCAAAAGCAGAGGGCCCCGATATGGTTCAAAGCCCCTCGGGCATCTTTCCAAAGTAAGAGAGGCGCCCTTCCTGTTCTCTATGGGGAGACTGTGCAAAGCTGCAACACCTTCTGGCTTAGAATCCTAGGGCTGGAAGGTACCTCGGAGGTCTTCTAGTCTTGTTCTGTCTTAGGCCTCTCCAAAAAGCACTAAGTCAATTCTGAGTCCTGGCAAAACCCTCTTTTATTACATTAATGTGAATTTATTTCATTCACAGTCAGCCAACGGCTTGGCAAACAGTCTTGAAAAGGTATACTAATGAACTCAGACCTTTATCAATCCTGGAATGCTGCCCAGTAAATAGTTCCACACTCAATGCTGACAGGGAAGGGCTGGGTTATACAGACAAATCTTCACAAACAGACGAACGAACAAGCAAGTTGTTCCTGCAAAAGCCCCCTCTCCCTTTGCTCCTCTTTTAATCCTGATCGGTGGGGCCGTTCATCATCCACCTGTGTCTTACTCCCACGTTGACCCTGACTTCTTAATTGTGCCTTCTTTTTGGCAGCTCTGCGCATGTTCAGGATGGAAACTGATTCCAGAAGCTCCCCTGCCTCACTGCTGTCTGAGCCCGAAGGCAGCTGATAACTGCCAGCCTGCCCTGGCCCCATCTCTGCCTCTGATGCAGAGCCCGCATCCCAGCCTTCCTCAGCCTCCAGGACTGCCCCAGGTTCCTCCCCAACCTCCTCACTACTGTCCGACTCTGCTGCCAGCTCTGCCAGCTGCCGGCGGGCCACAAGAAGTCTAACCCTCTCCAAAACAAGAGTCCTGATACCACCTTGGACAAATGGTTATCCAATCTTCTCTTGAAAACCTCCAGCAGTGAAGCATCCAAAATTTCGGGAGGCATTGATTAATAGTTCTCACTGTCAGGAAATTCCTCCTTAGCTCCAAGGTTGGATCTCCCTTCTGACAAGCTTCCATCTGTTGCTTCTTGTCCCCAGGTGCTTTGTAAGCTGACCCCTCTCTTGTGGCAGCCCTTTCAAGGATTGAAGGATTGAACCCTCTTCAAAAAGCATTGAATGCAAACTTCTCAGGAGAACAGGAAGCAAACTAGCTTTTTTTTTTTTTTAATCAGACACACCAAACGGAATTGCTTCAAAAGCCAAGGTGTCGCTTTTATGTAACTAACAGAAGGTATATCGACACTCATACCTTTGCTAGGACTTCTGGGGACACCTCTTCGTCCGGAGACCACAATTTCCCATTTTTTTCACCTGTAGACTGCAAGATTTTAAACAATTTTAAAAAATCTATCAAAGGCCCTAATTTCAGTATCGATACTAACAATCTCTTCTTCTCCCCCCCCCCCCCCCTCTCATCGTCACATTTGGCAAAATTTTAACTCAGCGTACCCTATCGTTCATAAGAAGATCTTTCACAATGAAATTTGCAACGACGGATTTCATGGGGGATGCAAATTGGTCTGGGGCCAGCATGGAAATGTGACCCAAGGAAACCAGAGGAGTTATGAGCTGCTCCGGAACGTCAGCATTCAAACTTCGACTTAAAGGCTGAAGGGAGAGAAAACAAGGGATTAACGACTGCATATTAGGACAGCCTTTAAAAATAAATTATTGTGCTGTCTGAAGTTTATTAAATATATGTAAACCTCCAGAAATGCAATGCAGCCTGTTTCTTAATATACTGTTGTAAGAGTACATTAGCATAGCTGCCAAAAATCTAACATTTTGCCTTTCATTTTTCAGCTACTAAAGTCAAATACAATTTTATTTATCTTGCTGCTTGGAGAGCCATGGTGGCACAGTGGTTAGCAGCAAGATACTGCAGGCTACTTCTGCTGACTGCCAGCTGCCTGAAATTTGGCAGTTCGATTCTCAACAGGCTCAAGGTTGACTCAGCCTTCCATCCTTCCGAGGTGGGTAAAATGAGGACCCAGATTGTTGGGAGCAATAGGCTGACTCCGTAAGCCAACTAGAGAGGGCTATAAAGCACTATGAAGCTATATATAAGTCTAGGTGCAATTTTTATGTGAAATAGTTCATTTTTTTTTTCCAAATTAAATTAATTTGATTTCTTATGAAATTCCATGCTGTTACAAGCATTAATAAGCGGGCTCCAATTTTTGACCGCATTTTTGAAAGCAGTAGCAGAAAATTACCTCGAAGATTTGAGCAAGCTGAACTTCCTTATTGGAAAATATGGCGTGTATACAATGGACAGCTTGCTTGGCTTGGTGAGGTGTTCCTCTCTTTGCTTTCTGGTGCAAGATTGGAATAAGGGTTCTGTAAAGACACAATAAGTTTCAATCATTCGTTCATTGAATTTCTATAGCCGCCCATCTCAGTCAATGACTCTGAATTGGCTTACAATTTTGAAAAAAATACTACAATTAAAAGAACTATGAACAGTTTAAAATAATGAAAAGTATTTATAAATACTCATACAACATGAAATAAAATAAATATTTTGGGGGTGATTAATGGCCTGTAAACGGCAAAGTTAATATGGAACAAAAATGGAAATTTTCTTATTTTAGCATAATTTTTCAATTGTTATCTCGTACTTGGGACAAAATGCAAATTAAAAACTAAAATGAAGTGCTTGAACTTTATGAAAACTCTCAATAAATGTGTGCGTATAGTCAGGAATATTCTTTTGAAAGAGAAGACTATATACCTCTTCTACAAAATATGCAATATACAGGCAGTCAGAGGAGGACCCAGGCCTGTCCCCTATCCATCCTAGGACAGGCAGGGAGGAGAGGATAAGGGAGAGATGTGGTCTCCTCGGGAGGAGAGGGCCTTGATCCTCTTCATGGGCTGCAGGTGTGACAACTGAATAAGAGTTTGAACCTGCATACTGTCAAACACTGGAAACAAATTGTGTAAATATCTCTAGTTTATGGTTCCTGAGTTTGATGTCCTTCCCAGTGTGTATTATCTGTGGACACCCTCCAGCCCTTATCTTGCCTGGTTTGTGTTGCTTTTCTTCTTCTTCCTGTAACTGTGTGGGAGTTTTTTTGTCTTCCATCAAAGATATTTGAAGCTTGGAAGCAAACTGAAGGAATAAAAGGGGCTTCACCTGTTTTCTGTGACTATGTTTGTTTTGTATCCCACCCTGGGTCATAACAATATCTATCTATCTATCTATCTATCTATCTATCTATCTATCTATCTAT